TCTTCAGAAAATTTTTCTGAAGAAGGGTCTAGGCCCGAAACGTCAGCTTTCCTGCTCCTCTGATGCTGCTTGGCCTGCTGTGTTCATCCAGCTCTACACCTTGTTATCTCAGATTCTCCAGCATCTGCAGTTCCTACTATCTCGGGAGTATTTGCAGACATCTTTAACCTCTCCTTAATAGGATCTGAAGTCCCCACCCACTTCAAGAAGACCACCATCACCTCAGTGCCAAAGAAAAATCATGCAGCGTGCCTCAATGACTACTGCCCAGTGGCTCTGACATCCATAAAAATGAGTGCTTCAAGAGGTTGGTCATGGTTCACATCAACTCCAGCCTCCCAGACTGCTTTGATCCCTTGCAATTCGTCTTCCAGCGCAACAGGTCCACAGCAGACACCATCTCCCTGGCCCTATGTTCATCCCTCAAACATCTGCACAGCAAGGATACCTACGTCAGGCTCCCACTTATTGACTACAACACCACCTTCAACATCAGAATTCCAAACAAACTCCTCTCCAAACTTCAGGACCTAGGTCTCTGCCTCCCCATCTGTAATGGAATTCTCAACTTCCTGACCAACAGACTGCAGTCAGGAAGGAAAGGCAACAACACCTCCTCCGCTGTAATCCTCAACACCAGTGCCCCTCAAGGCTGCATACTCAGCCTTCTACTGTACTCGTTTTACACTCATGACTGTGTGGCCAAATTCCGTACCAATTCCACTTACAAGTTTGCTGCAGACACCATCATCGTAGATCAGATCTCAAACAATGAAAAGGTGTACAGGAAAGCACTTGAGTGCTTAACAGCACGGTGTAAAGACAGCAATCTTTCCAGCATTGTCAGGAAAACGAAGCAGCTGGTCACTGACTTCAGGAAGTGGAGTGGAGGGCACACCCCTGCATCAATGGTGCCGAGATGGAGATGGTCGAGAGTGTCAAGTTCCTGGGAATGACAATAACCAACAATCTGTCCTGACCTACCCACATTAACACTATGGTCAACAAAGCACAGCAATGCCTCTACTTCCTGAGGAGTTTAAGGAATGTCGGCATGTCCATGAAGACTCTTAAAAATTTTTATAGATACAGCATAGAAAGCATCCCACCTGGATGCATCACGGCTTGATATGGCAACTGCTCTGCCCAGGACTGTAAGAAACAACAGAGTCCATCATGCAAGCCAACCATCAATCCACCAACTCCATCTACACTTCTTGCTATCTTGGAAATGCGGCCACCAAAGACCCCTCGCACCCCAGTTATAATTTCTTCCAAACTCTTCCATCATGCAGAAGATACAAACGCTTAAGCACATGTACCATCAGGTTCAAGAACAACATCTTCCCTGCTGTTATTAGACTTCTGAATAGACCTCCCAAATTTCAAATTTAATGCTGGCCTTGCTCTTTGTGTGCCTTCTCTGCAGCTGTAACATTGTATTCCTCGCTCTATTCTATTACCCTTATGCACTTTGTATGGTACGATCTGCCAGGACTGCATATAAAACAAACTTTTCACTGTACCTAGGTACGTGACAGTAATAAATCATATCAAACCTGGTTATACTCTCTTCCAACCTCTTCCGTCAGACAGAAGATATAAAAGTCTGTATTCACATACGAACAGATTAAAGAACAGCTTCTTCCTTGCTGTTGTCAGACTTTTGAATGGACATCTTTAATGCTAATGTTGATCACTCTCAGCAGCTGTAACATTTTACCCTGCACTTTGTTCTGTTACCCTGATGCACTTGTATAGTATGATCTGCCTGTAAAGCATCTAAGACAACACTTTTCACCGTACCTTGGTACACAACAGGAATAAATCAAATCAAAGAACGTTATAAGTGGGAGCTTCAGAATGTTTCATACCTCAGCAAAAGCTGGCAACATACTTGTCATTACCTTACTCAATTTTGGAATAAATTGCTTCATTTGTTTATAATCCTTATTAGATCAATGTATGAGCACAAACTGTCATGGAGCAAGTGTTGACTCACTAAAGCAATCATAAGAAAATTAAACAATCTACAGTAACACCAATTAAAAGATTATATCACACTGAATTTGTAAACACAACAGGGATCGGATTGTAAAACAACCCTGCCTGACTGTAAATTCATCATACATTTCACTTAGTGCATTTCAGCCCTTTAATCTGCAGTACATTTTATTCGGTCTTTCTGCAAACGCACTCAGATGTCCAAAACCAACAGAATTTAAAGACCGCTTGGGAAAAATTTCATTTTCTGGAATGAATACTGCTAAACCACTCTATTATACACTGCAATGCCTTCTCCATCATCACCTGCACAAACTATAACTGTCCAACTGCAACTCTGCAGGAGCAGCACATCCTAATCCGTGAAGCAGTCTGTTATTATTAATACCCCTCTGAGCATACAGGTATCTGGTGACAAATATCACAAATGATCAACACATCACATATGCCTGCATCCCAGGACAAGTTGGAGAATTCCTCATTGCACCAAGAAAGACCAAATGTGTCAGATGTGAATTGATGTCTAGGCAGAGTTGTGAAAATTTCAAGCTTAGGGCAAAATTGGAAAATTTCAATCATTGGAATAATGGTGGAAATCCTTTCAGACATTGCATTCTTTCAGGTGAAAAGCTACTGCTGGTAATTAATTTTGTAATTTAGTTTGAATGCCGCCTGTGAGGGATATCTCTGCAGAGACCGGGGAAAGCTTTTGTATCATCGCCTCAGCAACATACCATTAACTTAATCACAAAAGATCCAAATGCAGTATGATGTTTTTTGCAATTGCCACACAAACTATTTGAATTGCTTTAGAGAAACTCACTATAAAACTCAAGGAGATTTGCTTCGAGAAACTTGCTGCCGTGGATAACAAAAACCAAAGCAAAAAACACACTAGAGAGTTTGAAGAAATGAGACCAATTTACAGGTGTCACCTTCATTTGCCTGGCCTGTTCTCATCTCTGCTCTAGCTATGGCAAAAGTCAATCTTTATAGTACCCATTATCTACAGAGAAGCTAAACTCAGCCTGTACAGGTACACACAAGATCTTGTGGTATTATTTAAAGAGAAAAGGCATGAGTGTTCTCCTAGTCCCTTTGTCAAAGCTTTTGTTGCAAATCACCACGGCTAAAAAAAAAAATCTCACAAATTGATTATCTATATTGTGGATGCCTCACTGCAGAATTTGGCTACTGCATTACAACACTGACTGTACATCAAGATTAATAACTTGGATGTAAAACACTTCAGGACAACCCAAGGTGACAAGACGATATACACACACACGTTCTGCCATATTTTTACATTGGACTTTTTGTGGAAATCAACAGAGTGAATCAATAAAGCAGTATGTTACAGTAACTGCTTCAAGCTGCATGCCTATGACACTTTTAATATTTTATAGCCTTAAATTAAACAGTACATCTGATGTGAATACCAGGGCTACTGGTGGAGACATGACTCACTGATCATGCATGGCAATTAGTGTTGCTAAAAGCAAGTTCGCAGAGATCGTCAATTGCAGTAGGGAGGATGAAGGAAGTGGAACGGTGGAGGGTTGCAAGAAGTATTTTGTTAGGGTGTAATTGATTTACTATTTACCTGAGATTTTCATAAGAGACTGGACTAAGATATGAACATTACTATCAGAGGGATATATTAAAAATCTATCCTCTTTCCACTGCAATCTAAAATCATTATCTCCCCAACTGTAGTATCCCACATCCTGATATGCAAAGACAAACAGTAAGTACCCCTCCCCCACTTTCTCTCTCTCTCACCCACACACACACTCTATACCTTAGCAAACAGGGTTTTCCCTGTACCCGGAGGCCCATACATTAGGATATTTCGGTACAGTCCTTTGTTGCTTTTGGTGTTTCGGGTTGCTATGGCAATATCTCTGACACGTTCCTCCAATTTGGGCTGTGGATAGAAATGAGAATTGAGTGCAAGTCATATATGTAGAGAATCAAATTATAAATCAAATCAGTTCTCTAGCCACAGAACTGAATGTATTATAAAATTACATACATTTTTTAAAAACACAAGAGAAATGTAGCAACTCACACTCAACACCACTCCTTCCAGCGCGTCCTGTGGCTTGCTCATCACACGCTTACCAACCTGAGGCAAAACGTATCCAGTTTAAAGTTCACAATTAATGTTATCTTTCACATACAGTGAGCAAATAAGCAAAACCTGTTACATCACTTCTTATACCTAAAGGCAAGGAAATACAAAAGCAAAATATCACAGACTCTAGAGCAGAAGTTGCTGGAAATTCTCAGCATGTCCAGCAGCATCTGTAATATAGAACCAGCTAACTCTAAAAGTCAATGGCCACCATCATTTGAAACACTGACTCCACTTCCCTCCATAGTTACTGCCTGGTCTGCTCAGAAATTCCAGTGTGAATTTTAATTTAGTTGCAGTGCTGGGAATATTCTGTTTATCATTTAACTCCGTGTTAGCTCAATGTTAAATTACATTATACACTATACAAAATTTTGCTGAAAACCATACATCTCACACTGATTTGACAACTGAGGCTAAAATACCCTCTTTGCCTGGTGATGGTAATAAAAACAAAAGTATTTAAAATACACATAGTTCATGAGTGAATTTAAACATTCACATCCCCAGTTAAAAAGTTTCCCATTCATTGTTTTCATGAATTGTTAAGACTTCCCACCCAACATAAGTGGAACACTTGTCACATGCATAATTTGACACCCTGATGTTATTCTATTTTCACCCCAGGAGGCATAAAGCTGGAAGTATATTGATGCATAAACTGTGGAACAGTCTGGGGTTGCTGATATGAAAATTGCAGAAATACAAAAATCTAATTACTGAAAATAAGGCGAGTACAGAAAGAATAGTTCAAACTTGTCACAATTGACCAAAATAGATGTAAAGGAACACATATACACATCACCACCATCCAACCTCCAGATGAAAATTTCCCCCTTAAGTGAGGCTTGTCCCTTTTGAACTCTGGGAGTACATCAGCCAGCTATTACCCAAATAAAAACTCAACTGAACCTGCAGAAATTCACTCGTAACGTACATTTATTTTTGCCATTTATTAAATCACTTGTTACGCAGAGTAGACAAAGCTACTAACAAAAGTCAAAAATCTGTTTCATAGATGATACGGCTTTGAGAATGGCTGGAGTGTACCTGTGCAGAAAGATACATAGCAAGAATGTAAACCCTGAACCATGCTGGATTTCATAATGCCATTGGTTCTCATCATTCAGATACAACAGTAACATTCATTTGGGATCAGTCTGGGCTTGAACTTTGTTCAGTAACAATGATCAAAGCTCTTTAGTTTTTATAATAAGCCACCTTACTTTGATCGGGTGCTTCAGTGCTTCCACTAACGTGATACGGGAGGTGTCACGAACCAGGGATGGTTTACCCAGTCGAGCCTCAATGTATCGTCCAGCGACTCCTGTAGCATTCTTGGCAGAGTAAACACCCACAGCCAGTAGTGTGAGACCAGCCACCTGAAAAGGTGAAACAATGCCAGAAAAGAAAATTAGACCATGTTATGATTGATAGCCATTTCTTGGAGGAAGACACAACAATTCAATAGTTTGAATTTAGAAGGCACCTGTTATCACTCAGAAACTTTAATGTCCGCCATTGGAAAGAGCAAGGGCTCAAGTCACACAATGCTACATTAGCAGAGTTTTAAGTAATAAAGAAAATGATATTAATCTGAAAACAATGATTACATAATATAAAACTTGCTCTTCAAAGTCAGAAATTGCTGGAGAAACTCTAAGTATGGCAGCATCTGTGGAGAGAAAGCAGAGGTAAAAGGTTCAGGTTCAGAGGCCCCTCTTCAGAACTAACTTCTGAATACTGATTCTGATACTGCCAGACCCGCTCAGTTTCTCCAGCAAATTCTGTTTTCCTTTCAGATTTCCAGAATCCACAGTTCCTTGGTTGATTTTGCTCTTCAAAGTCTTGTGAAGAGAATGTGAACCAGAAAAGTCAACTGATATCAGGGAAAGAATAAATTAAATCGGAAAAATATGCACAACATGCCTTGGATTTTAACCAGTGAGAATACAGGGATGATGGAGGTAATGTATAGCAAAGTTTATTTAGAACTTTGAAGGAACAGGAGAGCTAAGGTCCAGAAATGCAAAAATCAAAAAAGGAATGTTATTAACTCCCAAAACAACAAACTGATCTCATATTAAGTGCTCATGTAGATTGTCACCAGCTTTGCACCACCTGTTTTTATGTAGTTCCAAAACTTTTGCCACTGTTTAAAATCTGCACTGTATCCATTTCAATGAAGTATTAATAACAATATCACTGCTCCAAACCTTTAGAGATTTTGGGCAACAGCAAACAATTAAGCAAACTCCTACATCAAAACAAAACCCACCCTATAACTTAGCCATAAACTAAAAAGATCAAAACTACTGACTTACAAAATGCAAAGGAACAATGTGTACAGATAGTGGGAGCAAATTTCGGCACATGCAGATCCTCTCCATAAACACTTTTAAAACAGACCAATATGACGGTACAACTTTGAGAAGATCTCTTAAAAAGAGTACCACTTCACTTGCCTCCAAGGTGCTGTTGCTTTCTATCATGCTAACATACAGTAAAAGAGCATGCTCAGCTTTAACGGCAATCACTACACTTCCAGTGAGACAGGTTTACAGCCTAGTCTCTCAATTACACCCTGGAAGGCTATTGGACATAATATAACTTACAGCTCAAAGCTGTCATAAATAAATATTAACAAATACTATGTAAATATCAAACCTTCTGCTGATTCACATGTACAAACACCAATAATTCAAAAACGAACTTCCATACCCAGGTCAAGTACAGACGACTTAATATACACCACAAGCCACAGCAAGGTTAATATTTAGCATTCAAGAATAGAATGCTTTCAAGTTCAATACAGAATTTTTAGAAAAATTAAAGCCTCAACAAACCTTCATGTCACCAATTTTCAGTAAAGTTATCTGTTATTTATGATGGGAAAATTCAACCATACTTTTCTTCTACCATTTAATGTTGTATTAGCCATTCCTAGAGCTCTTTGCAGCTCAGAGGGTACATTCTGGTCCAAAGAGTAGAATCCAAAACAGGTAATAGGCAGTGTGCAAAAACTAAGATGTTCAAATGGTTCTTTCTTTCATGACGACCAGGTATCCTAAATTAATCTAGTCGCAATTGCCAGCATTTGGCCCATATCCCTCTAAACCCTTCCTATTCATGTACCCATCCAGATGCCTTTTAAATGCTGTCATTGTACCAGCCTTCACCGCCTCCTCTGGCAGGTACCACCCTCTGCATGAAAAAGTTGCTCCTTAGTTCCCTTTTAAATTTCTCTGCTCTCATCTTAAACTGATGACCTGCGGTTTTGGGGAAACTCTGGAGTAAAAAAGACCTCGGCTGTTCACCCTATCCATGCCCGTCAAAACTCAAAACCTACAACCCTGGTAATATCCTTGTAAATCTTTTCAGACCAGAATCGAAAGCAGCCTTCCAAAAGCGGCCTAACCAACATCCTAAACAGCTGCAACATGACCTCCCAACCCTATACTCAATGCACTGACCAATTAAGGCAAGCATACGAAATGCCTTCTTTACTACTCTGCCTACCTGCAACTCCACTTTCAAGAACTGTGAACCCGCACCCCAAGGTCTCTTTTTGGCAACTCTCCTCAGGACTATACCATTAAGTATACAAGTCCTGCCCTGATCTGCCCTACCAAAATGCAACACCTCACATTTATCTAAATTAAACCTCACCTGCCGTGCCTTGGCCCATTTGCTCATCTAATCAAGGTCACATTGTACTCCGAGATAACCTTCTTTGGTGTCCATTATACCACCAATTCTGGTATCAAGGAGCTCCCATTCTCATATACTGTAGACTGGTACATTTATTCTCCATCTGGCATTGCAAGGACACCTGCCACATGGACAGCTTATTGAACGGTGAGACCATGCTCAACGTTCAAGTCAACAGCAAAGCTGCACTAATATGTGCCCTACATTGTCCAAATTTCACAGCAGACAGCAGATATTGCTGATGTGGAAGTCATGAAGGGAAGTAGGCACACCAATGGTGCATTCTTAAGATATAACACTTGGCCAAAAAGCCGAACTCACTGTTGCACATTATTTCAAACAGCAGTTTGGATAGGAATGCACTAAACAATTTAAAAAAAAGCACTGCACAAAGCTCTACCATGAAACACTTTTCTGTGAACAGCAACTGATACTGGGTCAGTTGTAACTTTATGACAGTGACAGACTTTTTTGACCAGGTATCAGGGAAAATGGGTCAAAGGTATTTCACAGATTAGACATAATCTCATCAAATGATCAAAAAGAACAAAAACCAGCCCTGATACAATATGCTAAATAACTCTGAAAGGGGCTTCCTTAAAAGAGATTGAGTTATTAATGCAGCCATAGCTGGTCTCCTCCAATATGGCTGTGTTGAGTCAAACGTCAGATAGATCTCTATTAGTACTGATACCCTGTTGCTCAAAATGTGCAACTGCCCCTTTGGAAGGTACAGGTGAAGGAACCAGTTGTAAATCAGTGCCTTTTTTTGGGGAATACTTATTTTTCAGGGATTTTTAAAAGCCGACCTGTTTGGAGGACGAATCAGATCTTGAACCACTGGTCACATCCACCATTAAAAACCTGCAGAGATTTAAATAGATGTTTGCAGCTGTTAATGCTTGGTTAGAACTCCATGACAGCCATCACTCTTCCGAGCTCGTGACCCCAGGATCGCGTTTGCACCTCCCAGCGCAGTTTGAGAAAGCTTGGTAGGGAGTAAAAGAAGCAACCTTTATTTGTCACTTCATCCAGACACTTCTTGAGTAATTCTAAAGGTTTTGCCTTTATCAGCCTAACAGGAAACTGGCACTGCTTCAGTTTTAAAAAATTCATTTGTTCTAGCGCCGAGCATAAACTGACAAAATGCTCCACCAGATTTATTCCATCAACTCAATGCATTTTGTATGCTTTTACAAACTCCGCTCATGGACATTTCTTTTCAAAGCTCTAGTAATAATTTCTCCAAAAGCTTAATCCTATGTAGCCAGTTTCAGTCTCATGACCCTTCTCTACACAATCTCTGGGTATTTAATATTTACCTTTGCCTTGACGTTCAAAAGTAAATCCAGTACACAAGACCATTGCACTGTACAGTTTTAGTACAAAAACCTATTTACATTTAACTGAACCAGCAGCACAACTTATTCTTTGAGAACACACATCAGCAAGAGGAAATATGGAAAAGTAGCTGGAGAAAGGAATGCTAATGATCAAGGCCAAGGACCACTTCGACCTCCTAGAAACACCTGCCAAATGTGTGGTTGGAGATGTGGCTCTAGGATCGGGCCAATCAGCCACACAAAGACCCCCAGAACCCATGACCAGTGGCACAGAATTTCCTAAGTGGGCAATCATCCTTGTTAGCGAGTGATTGCGATGACTACAAAATATTAAGCATTTGTTTACAACATTTATTGGTGCCCAAGAGATTCGACAAGTGTCCAGGGAATGTCGCAGCTTCCAACTGCACTCTCACTTACTGTAGCTGTCACTTTGTCCCAGTCGGAAACAAAGGCCCGGAATCCTTCTCCAAACACTGCACCAGCTGTCCTGAGTGAAAGAATAAAATAGAAGTCAACACATCTCAAAACATCACAAGCAGTTGCAAGAAGTGGAAACAGTCACAGTCTCAAGAAAGAAAACAGACTGCGGGAAATAAATGAAAGCTTTTGGGACGGGGTCACGTTAAATTGTATTGATGTAGAAATGGACAAGCAAAGATTTGGTCAGCCACCCTATTTCAAAGTGAAAGAATCAAAACTTCCATTAGATTACACATCATGAAACCGGCCCCATTATACATGTGTCAGCCTTGCTGACCAGAATTATATTTTCAGTCAAGATGCTAAACCTGGGCTTGAATCCCTAATTATCTCATAGCCAGTGGAAAAAGTCAATGCGGTGAACTTTAAAGCAATCTTTGTCTACATTTTTAAGATTAAACCGCTTCTAATTTTATGGGTATGATTACTGACTGTATCTCAAGATAGTGCACTTTCCTAAATTTCCGTCTCAATATTGAACATGTGCAACACAGCTACTTGTTACTGCAAATAATTGTTAAAAATACAGCAAGGGTGAGATAAAATAAAGTAGGAGGATGCACATAGCTGGCTCAAACACCAGCACAGACCTGTTCAGCCGAACTGCAATTTTTGTGCTTTAAAATTCTACGTGCTGAGAAATCAAGGAAAAGCAGCAATTGATTACAGGGGACTCACCTCTGTACAGAACAGCTAACTGGGAATACACACACACACACACACCCCCAAAATATCAATTCACATATTTCAGGGACCAAAATTCACTATGTCGTTTCCCACATTACCATTACAGCTTGATGCTACTTCGTGTCTACAGAGCCACATTTACTGAGTTAGATCCAAAGCTGAACAGCCATAACAATTAACACAGGGTGAAGGCGGCGTTTGGCACGCTTACCTTCACTGGTCAATGCATTGAGTATAGTAGTTGGGATGTCATATTGCAGCTGTACAGGACATTGGTTAGGCCACTTTTAGAATACTGTGTTCAATTCTGGTCTCCCTGCTATAGGAAAGATGTTGTTAAACTCAAAAGGGTTCAGAAAAGACTTACAAGGACTTTGCCTGAATTAGAGGGTCTGAGCTATAAGGGAGAGGCTGAAAAGCCTGGGCCTTTTTTCCCCGCATGTCAGAGGCTGAGGGGTGGCCTTACAGGTTTATAAAATCATAAGGGGCATTGATTGGAGGAATAGTCAAGGTCTTTTACCTAGGGTAGGGGAATCTAAAACTAGATGGCATAAGTTTAAGGTGAGAAGTGAAAGATTTAAAAGGGATCTGAGGGGCAACTGTTTCACGCAGAGGGTGTGCATATATGGAATGAACTGCCAGAGGAAGTAGTGGAGGTGGGTATAACATTTAAAAGGCATCTGAACGAGTATATGAATAGGAAGTGTTGACAGGGATATGGGCCAAATGCTGGCAAATGGGACTAGATCAGTTTAGATTATCTGGTCAGCATGGACGAACTGGACTGAAGGACCTGTTTCTGTGCTGTATAACTCTGACTCCATATATTAATTCTAATCCATTTCTCATTAACCACACATGAAATCGTTGGTAGTTTGTAACACTGGCTCTTGCTCAATAAACCTCCAGGAACTGTGGCGAGGAAAACTCTTGTCTAGTATGAGAAGGTTATGGCCGTAAAAGTAGCAGCAGGTTTTTCTTAATGAGATGACAACCACAAGAATACGGTCAAATTTTAATGCTTGAACATTAGGTGGCCAGGAAGTGTAAATTTCTTCAGCAAACAATGAGTCACTCAGATCTAGATTAGGCAGTTCAATGTTAAGCGTTTTAATTACTATCATTTATCATCCATTTGAGGGCATTTTTATTAATCTGCAAAAGGTCACTGCACCTCAACTGGCAGGATATACCAAAGGCAGCAATGAAACTAGACTGATAGTGATGGCAAGAAAAGTGATGGGATGGTTCGATGAGGGATAAAGAAAATGAATCAGTCACATTTAGTATTCTGAAATCAAACCTTCTGTCCACCTAACACTTACTTAATGGAATCAAGGACAGTCTGACGATGCTCTGCAGCTTTCAACCGGATCTGTTCTCTGATCAGATCGGCATTCTCTCGCTCAACCTTCGCACGGGCTTTAGCTTCAGCCTCAATTCGAAGCATCTCATTTTTGTGTCGGAGCTCCATCTCGTGTTCAATGGTGGCTACAGTGAAGAAAGATAGGTTAAAACAATGCCTTTCACCACAGATTGGGGACTGAATATTCAAGTTTATAAATACAAACTCCTTAATGCTGGATGTTTATTAATACCATAGGGGGGGCAAAAAAAATTGCCATTTAGTCCGTTGCATCTCGGCCACCCCCGAATGAGCCATCTAGCTGAATTCCACATTCCAGCTCTTTTCTTTAATATGTAGGTTTGAAGGTTTGTGGTGATTCACTTGTGTATTCAGGCAGTTTTAAATGCGAAGAGGATTTTTTCTATCTCTACCACCCTTTCAGACAGTGAAAGCTAGAACTCATCCACTGGATGAAATAATTTTAACATCAACATCCCCAATCCTTAGAGCAATTAGTTTAAATCTTTGTTCTTCTGGATACTAAACTCTGTACAACAAACTGATCTTGCATTTTCACTTATCCAGACACTTCTATTAAATCACTTCTTAGCCGACAGCTGTTCAAAGGAATCAACCCCAAACTATCTCATCTTTCTTCAGTTAAAAACTGTAGTCCTGGAGACATTACTCCATGCCCTATCCTTTGCAATCACATTCTTCCTGTAAAATGGTAACTGAGATTTTATTCTAGCTATCCACCTTTCCACTCACTCCCCAGCTTTATAAATTTATCCTGCCTGTTGCTGATTAGTGAAAATCAACACTGTCGCTCAGAACATTTCCAATAATTTGCATCCACCAATATTAGGGTAACTGATCTATAACTGCCCTGCCTATCCCTTCACAAACAACAGCTTAATGTTAGCTGTCAACTAACACCACATTTACAGCCTGAATGGACAGGAAAGCAATGGCTAGGGCCTTCACTCCACCCTCTTGTTTCTCTTAACAGCTTGTATTACAGCTCACCTGGGCCGACTGATCAACATTTAAAGATGCTGTGCCCTTCAGTTTCCTCTTACTATGATTTACCATTTCTAATATTTCACACTCCTCCTCAACTACAATGTCAGCATTATTCCACACCACTGCGATACAGATGCAAAGAATTCATCAACAATCATGTCCACGTCTGCCCCTCACACAGAGATAACCTTTAAGATCTAAAAAAAAAACCTAGTCTTTGCTTAGTTTACCTTTCTTTATGTAACTTTAAAACTTTGCTTTGTGCAACACACTGGTTAACTATCTCAATGTTAATCTGAGAAGAGATGAGGAGACTAAGAAGGGTAGCCAAAAGACTGAATAATAGGCAGAGTATGGCAAAGCTTGCTGGAATTCTCAGTAAGTGAACAGCCTCTCATTTTACAGGCAAGTTATCAGATTTTATGCCAATCGGCAAAGTCAAAGTTCCAAAACAAAGTTTGCACCATACCCAGAATCCTTTCATCGTGCTTTTTTAAAAAAAGCACTAACTCAACACAGTGGCATTATGAAAACAATTTCTGGGCTGTGACCTCTTTCAAAGTGTAACAGTCCCCAGGATTAAGTCAAAGCACAAAAGGACTGCCCTGTGCAATAAGCAGGGATACCTAGAGAAGAATGTAATTGTATTAGTGAATAAGCTTGGGTGTAAAGCCAATCTTTTTTCATGTTGTTTTGAAAAAAAAATGCGGTGCTTGCACATTGTGAGCTTAGTCACTCTTCAATTCGGACAAGCTGCCTGCTGCCACACATGTATTTTAAAAAAAGTCTGCAAAACTCTGAAGGCTTGCTATGACAACTAACTAGAACCCTAACCAAAAACAAAAAGCTTCATTCAGCAGCTAGCTGGAAGCAGGGTCCTCTCAGAGTGCCTTAACCTCAACACTGAACAGACTTAAGTTCATTTACTCTCAAACTCTCCAATCCTGCACTGCTCTCCTATTGGACTAGATTAATACTGCATCATTTTTCATTCAATTTAAAAAAGGAGTAACCAGTTCAAGATTTAAAAGTTAATCTGAATTTTACCATAAAATTAATCAGGATAAACTGAAGAATATAACTGAAATACTTTACCTCTTCGCATAGATTCCTGTTTCTGAACCGATTCCTCTTGTTTCCTCAAATTGTCCTCATTCAATAATTGCTAATAAAAATAAGGAATAAGTATTGTTTGAAACAAAAATGATTATTGCTGTGTCCATTAATCATTTATCTTGTGAAGCACTGCAGCACTTCAGCTCAAGTGCCACACTGGCACAGGTACTGCTAACACATAATTTGGATTCTCATAATAGTTAACTTCCAAATGATCTTCCTCACGCGTAACACAATGTGGTACTTTTTTTAAAAAAGGATTCATTGTTGGGAAAGTGGGCATCAATAGACAGTAGCTAATTGTCCTGATTTCAGAGGGCAATTCAAGTTTTAACCAGATCAACTGGATGTTGTAATCTCATGGCTCTAACATTACACTGTCTGCCCCTCCCTCAAACATGCATAAGTTCTTTATGAACCATGCAGCTATTTGGTGACTTCACTGACTGCACTGTACTCAGTTGCGCCACGCAGGACTTGGTAGCAGTATTGAGCATTTGTACTTCATGCTGAAGAGATTCATAGTGGCAAGTGTTAGAGCCTCCTCTGGTGCCAGATGTTGGTACTGTAATACATGACATGTCAGCTGGGACTCATCTGCAGCATTATTAGTCTTTAGAGTCGGGTTAAGGGTTAAGATTCACCTCCAATAGCTTGGAGCGCAAGAATGAGGCTTGACATTTCAATGCAGACAGAGATGCCATTTTTCAGTCAAAATATTAAAACAAAGCACAGGCTTCTTACTTGGGTGGATGGAAAAATATCCCACTGCATTATTTTGAAAAGCAGAGGAATTACCCCCAGAGTTTGGGCCAATATTTACCATTCAACCATCTGCTGTAAAATAGATGATTCACTGAGATTTTGCTGCACATACACGCTCTTCCACATTTTCTGTATTACAACACTGACTACACCTCAAACAGTAGTTCATTAGCTGTAAGTGACATTATACAAGCTATTATACAGAAACAGTGGCTTCTTTTGATGCACAATTTACAGGGAGACCCTACAAGTTGACTAGCTGCTCCAGCATGCTGACAGTGGCTCAGCAGGTATATTTATTGCCCAGCAAACTATTGCATCACACAAGGTACCTATATCCTTAGCTATGCTAAATCACACAAAGATCAGGTATATGCAACACTAAACCACAGAAGCTAGGAAGATGCCAGCCTTGACACACATTTAGTTACCTGAACTCAGAGGACGGAAACAAACTGATACCCCATAGGGATACAGGATGAGAGGGTCAGAAAAAAGCCAACCAGGTTTCCCACCCCAATCATCAACCAGACAATGTGCATGCTTAAATGATATCTGTAAAAATAAAGGTGGTCAGATTGAGGGTTTTTCAGAAAGAGGAGAGAACATACATCATGTAATGACACAGCACAGGATGCAGTTGCCCTTTGGTACCTGTGCGACAATTAGCCCAACTCCTGTACTCCTTCCCTACAGCCTTGCATCTTTTCCCCTTCAATAATTTATCAAATTCTCCTTTACAAGCTAGTTCCACACTTCCACTGCCACCCTAACAACTTGTAAGAAATTTCTGTGTTGCACCTGGCTCCTTTGTCAACCATCTTAAATGTATGCCCTCTTGTTACTATCCCTTCTACCACTGGAGAGTCACTTCTCATGTACCCTTTAAAATCCAGTCATTATTTTGAACACCTCTATCAAATCCTTTCCTAACCATTGATGCAATGGAGATCAATCTTCTCCAATCCTTAGTCACTGACACCACACAAATAAGACATGTTGTGAGGTCAGGTGGTCAACAGTCCAGCTGAGGAGTCTAAACCAGTGCTTCACAAAAATTTAGCATAACATCCTTGCTTTTGTATTCTATGCTTTCATTAATAAATCTATTGGCCCAATCTACTTTCCTTAAAATAAAACAGCCTTCTCAGCTTGTCCTGCCTTTGTCAAAGATTTGTGAATACCCTCTCCAAAGTCTCGATGTTCCTGCTCCTGCTTTTAAATTGTACTATTTAATTCATATGGCCTCTCCTCCATCTTCGTCACAAAACTCAAACTGTTTCACCCTTCACAGCATTAAATTTCAACCACCATGTTTTCTCATTTCACCAGTCTATGTTTTCTTTGAGTCTTCTGTATGATACACTTTACCATTTACCATACTTTGGAGTTTCAGCCACCTGCAAACTTTTGATACCACACTGTCTACTGAAGTCCAGGCCGATTTAAGAACAGTGATCCTCATATGGACAGCTTAGGAACAATACTGTGTGGTACTATAAAAAACAACTGCTCGCCATTACTGTCTGCTTTGTCTTTTAGTCAAGTTTGGATCCACATTTCCACCAATTTCACCGATTTTAATTTTATTAACATCTATCACATGGTATGTCAAATATTCTTTGCAAGTCTACGTACACATGAAACACCATTTTCAAAAACCCTCCATTAAATTAAAGAATTCTCAATTGAGTTAGTAAAACAAAAGCTGGCTTTAAACAAAATTGACTTTGCTCAAATGTCAACTGCGTCCTGAATTATTGATGAAAAGCTGCCCCATCACCAACATCGTGCAAACTGCTCATTTGCTGGGATTTACCCTTTCATTTTTGTTACAAAAGACTGCAACACTTGTAACTCTCTAGTCGCTTGTTCCAGAGGACAAGCAAATCTGGAAAATTTCTGACGATTTGGCCACAGCTTCCAATCATACATCCATCAGTAAACTAGGACACATCCTATCCATTGCGTGGCTTTTCTATGTTAAGGACTTCTAACTTCTCAAGTAAATGCTCTTTATCTATGTTTACCACCTGAAATCATTACTCCTTCACTTTTATTACTGCTTTGGCAGCACTCTCTGCTCTGGTACAAGAAGTACTCATCCAAGCTCTATGCCTCCTTGTAAGTCTCTAATTGGCTCAATTTTCTCTTCAACTATCCTTTTACTATTTGTACATTTATAAAAGACTTTTGCATTCTTTATACAGCTATTACTTATACAGTTTGCTTTTGTTCTCTTATTCACTGTTTTCGATCTTATCTGTACTTTCTACATTTAGAAAGAAGGGAAGATTTTAAAACATCGAGTACATTTCCAGACCCAAGAAAAGCAAGTCCACAGCCCACCGTCTCCATACAAAGTTACCCAGGACTTCATGCTGCTTACCTGCTGGCGGAGTTGGTCATCATAGCGTTGTCTTGCCAGTTTGTCCTGATACTGAGCTCGCTGTAAAACAAGGTGCCAAATTTAATTTGAGGGCTTAAATTAAATGACAATCTCAGTGCACTTTATCAATTTCTGGCAGATATAAGAAAAGCTGCTCATATCAAAAGAAATGTTGGATCAAGACCAACATTAATCCTGATATGATTGAAGTTAATAGCAATTGTGAAGGAGATCAATTGATGTCATCAAATGTTTGGTCTGAATTCTTAAGTTTGTAAGTTGACACTTATATCCAGAGGAATATCATATATTGTGTGAGTAGAGAAATTTACAGTGATTGAATATTTTTCTTCTGTTTACCCTATTAAACCACAGCTTGTGCTCACATCATGTACTCCCCTCAGCTGTGGGAAGCATGGGAACGCCCTCAGATGGTAATTGAATTTACAGATATCTGGCAGTAGATTATGTTTTTACCAATTTCTAAGAGCTAAGCACCAATGACTCAGGAACACCAATCTTCCTCAGTATGGCAAGAAAAATGAACTTGTAGGCATAAACTTCATTTAGTTTAAACATCCATTTCTGGGACCCCATAGAAAATCTACTGTAACTGCAAATACTTACTGCCTGGTGTTGCCTCGTTTCTTCGGCGAGTGTTTTCCGTTTCTCTTCTCCCTGCACTTTGATTTGATCACTTTTTAGTTGTTCCACAGCAGCTTCATATTCCTGCAAGCAGAATCGCAACAAATTGAATGTGTCATCCGAACAAACCAGGAACAGATTTGTAGGCATCAACAGATTCGACATTTTCACCAGAAATTTAGAAACATGTATCGAAGATTACAAAGAGATCTTGATCAATTGGGTCAATGAGCTGAAGAGTGGTAAATGGAGTTTAATCTGAGGCATTGTATTTTGGTAAAACAAACAAGGGCAATACTGATACAATTAAAAGTAGGGCCTTGGGCAGCGTTGTGGAACAGAGAGACCTAAGGGCTCAGGTACATAATTCTTTAAAGTTTTCATCACATATAGATAGGGTGGTTAAGGTGGCATTTAGCATGCTTGCCTTCATTGCTCAGACCTTTAGAATATAGGAGTTGGGGTATTATGCTGAGGTTGAACGGGGCACTGATGAGGACTCTCCTAGAGTATTGCGTCCAATTCTGGTCTCCCCGTTGATAGGCAGGAAGGATATTATTAACCTGGTAAGAGTTCAGAGAGATTTACCAGGATATTGCCTGGAATGGACGGCTCGAGTTATAAGGAGAGGCTGGGACCTTTTTCACTACAGTGTAGGAGGTTGAGGGGTGACCTTATACAGGATTATAAAATATTGAGCGGTATAGGTAAGGTCAAGGGCAGGTGTCTTTTCCCTAGGGTGGGGGATTCAAGACTAGAGGGCATATTTTTAAGTGAAAGGAGAAAGATTTAAAAAAGACATGAGGGGCAATTTATTCATACAAGAGAGTGGTTTATGTACGGAATGAACTTTCAGAAGACGTGGTGGATGCAGGTAGTTACAACATTTACAAGACATTTAGATAAGTACATGAATAAGAAATGTTTGGAGGGATATGGGCCAAGAGCAGGCAGGTGGGACTAGTTTAGTTTGGGATTATGGCCTGCATGTACTGGTTGGATCAAAGGGTCTGTTTCTGTGCTGTAGGACTCCTATGTGAAAATTAAACACTTCGTAAATTGCATTGAGTTGCAGGAAGGCTACCAGATAAAATAACTTGAGACCAATTTTTTTAAACACAAATGATACTTTTATGCATGAGTGACTTGCAAGCAAAAGGCAACAAAGTTACTCTAGACATGAAGAACCCTACTCCTTAAACCATCAAATCTTAGGTCTTCATTCCCAAAACCAATAGGGATTTTAAAACATAAAACACCACCCATGAACAGCTCCACTCTCTCCTGAAGGTAATCAAAGTAGACAACATGTAACTAGTTAAATCAAACATTAAAGCCCACGTTATAGGTCAAAATAGAGTTCACAATGCCACTAGTGAATGCTGTACCATCTCTCTCAAGAGAGGAACTACTGACTAAATTGTTAGAGGAATTAAATCTCCACCTATTGATAGGCCCATAAACATTTTGATCTCCTTTTCTGACGAAGCATGCTCTTGCTCTCGAGGGAATGCAGCAAAGGTTTACCAGGCTGATTCCGGGAATGACAGGTCTGATCTATGAGGAGAGATTGACTAGGTTAGGATTGTTTTCACTGGAGTTCAGATGAATGACTGGGGGGAAATCTCAGAGACTTATAAAATTCCAACAGGACTAGACAGGGTAGAATCAGGGAGGATGTTCCCAATGGTGGGTGTGTCCTGAACTAGGGGTTACAGTCTGAGGATTCAGGATAGGCCATTTAGGACAGAGATGAGGAAACATTTCTTCAGCCAAAGACAGTTTAACCTATGGAATTCATTACCAAAACATTGAACGTATTCAAGAGGCAGGTAGATATAGCACATGGGGTTAATGGGATCAAACGTTATGGGGAGAAAGCAGATTAGGCTATGGAATTGGATGATCAGTCATGATCGTGATGAATGGCAGAACAGTTCGAAGGGCCGAATGGCTTCCTCTTGCTCTTATATTCTGTGTCTATGTTTCCCTGTAGAAGTACTACTCCACTATTGAACCTCTAAATTCTGAAATTCCTCTTTCCCAGCTCTGTATTACATCTCCCCGATCCCAGCACTATTCTCTCGCGCACACCCCCAGCCTCGCCCCCGCAGACTGTGTCTCCTCTCCGAAGGCCCTGTAGAGCTGACTCCCAAACTTCAACCTGTGGGTTCCAGTACCTTGATGCGGCTTTGATGCTCCAACTGGACGGTTTGCTCCTGTAACCGAGAGAGATCCAGCGCATCCTTGGCGTGACCTGAATGAAGGAAAGAAATAACGCAGGAGTGAGTGGGAACTGGAGAAGATCGCTAGTCGGACCCCACAGCCCATGACTAGGCTGAAGGTCATAGGCCGTCCCACCCTGCGAATAATTCAAGGGGAAACCGATTCGGTGCACTGGGCTTCTGGAAGCTCCGTATACCCTTCGGACCATATAATCGAGGCCTCACTAAGCCTGGGGTCCAGGCTTCTCGGTCACTCACGGGATGAATCCAGATCCCGGGCCGCTTTGGCTGCGCGTTCCAGGCCGGTCGGGTCGAAGTTGGTCCATTTGTCTTTGTGCCGGTCGCGGTCAGAGCCATCGTTTCCTCCTCCGCCGGGTAAAGCTGGAGGCACGGGCGGTAGTGGGGATCCTGTGTCACCGGAGCCGGATTGCTGACTCCCCTTGTTCAAACCAAAAATCCAGGACATGGCGACTCTCGCACGCGACTCGGCGCGCTGACCTCTAAAGCCACTGCGCCTGCGCGAAACCTGCCTTGACCCCCTCGCTCCCGAATGGCCCCGCCTGACCTGAACGTTCAATGCACCGATTGGTCAGAGCGCGTATCTTTCCTGCCATTGGTCAGAATGCCGGGCAGTATTCAACGCTGATTGGCCATCATGCACAGTCCGTATTGCCATTGGCCGAGTGTAGGGGCGGTACGCCGTACCGATTGGTCCAGCCACCAGCACAGAAGGAACGCTGTGATTGGTCTCTCGGTGCAGTTCAGGGGTCGGTTACGCATAGCTGAATGCAGTTTCGGCTCCGGTGGCCATGGCTTTTGTTGCTGATCGTGCATTCGTCCTGCACGGAGTCAAGAGCCCTCTGAGGTAGGCGTCAGAGCCCTGGCCTCACCCGGGTCACGGTAAGCCGTCTGAGGATGGCGAATTCCCCTGTCCCGGTCAGTGTTGAGAGTCCCCACGAGCCGTTCCTAGGACGGTTGCTATGGACGCCGCGACTACACCGGCCCCGAAAACGGAGTTTTTTATTTCTGTTTACGGTGATATGTTTGTGTTGTGTTTCCGTGGAAATTGTCTCTTTTACTTTTATCTGAAGTGAGGGATGGGAAATTTCACCAACTCAGTCGTAAAATAAAATGTGAGTGCGTTTAATTTTTTTTTCTGCTGACTATGGCTGTTGTGGTTTTGTCATCTCTGCACTGCAGCGACTCGCCAACTCCAGCCGGAAAGAGAAAAACAGCAATGCCATGGGCAGATGTCTCACCTAAGTTTCCTTCCAAGATAAACGCCATCGTGAATTGAACTATATTTAATTCAGTTGCATGTTCACATTGTGGAATATCCGACAAATTACCTTTTGTGGGAGTACCACCATCACAAGGATGACAGTTTAAGGAGGAGACACTTTCTCAGACAGCAAGGGAAAGAAAATAAATATGGAATTGCCAGAATTATCCACGTATTAACTTTTTCAGAAAGCGGTCACAAATTACAGTATAGGCCCTCTTGTAGCAGCTGCTTTTAGCTTTTACACCCAGTTTCCATTTAGCTTTAAGGTGGCAGAAGAATAGACATTTACGGTATATGATTCATAAAACAGTTTAAAATCAGATAAAACGTTCTTATTTTCAGGAATTAAGAATAGAATTCGCTTATTGAGTGATCAAAAACAAATGAGTCTCGTACTACATGGATGATATATCTCAATTTCTCAACACTGGCTTGTAATAAAACGAAGACTTAATTGTGTAAATTTTAAATCACTGACTACAACTCCAAGGACTTGATCTAGGTTGGCAATTTTAATGTCAGGTTGTGCTCACTTTTGGATGCGATGTTAATTTGGTGCCCCATTCTCCTCTGTTGTATGGATACAAGGGATTTAACTGTACCATTTGAAGAACAGCAAGGAAATTCTCCCAGTGTTCCGACCAAAATTAATTAATTCAGAACCATGAATGTTGCTATACAAATTTATTTGTTTTGTGTAGTTGCCATGAACGTCTGTATTGTAAATGCTGGTACAATAAGGAACATTTAATGAGCAGTAAATCTAATTGTGGTTAGACTGCCATTTTGATAAACAGTCCTTCTAGAACCTCTGTAGAAACTATATTTTATAATGACATGGTTCCATCCACTTGAGGTGAGTGAGCTAGAACTTGGCAGAAATGAAAAAAAGAACAGAGGGGTATTTGTCCATTTTAGGTTAATTCATATCTTGTTGAGCCTTTTGGGCTTTAATCCTGCAGGCATAAATGAATTGGTTTATCAGCCTAGAACACAAGACTTCAGAGACTTCATCTACGTGTAATAAGATTGTAGTAGATATATTTGTTTCATTTCAGGAAGAAACTAAATGGTTATCTCACAAACTCCCAAAGAACATTCACCACACATCAGCAAAGGGACATAGCAGACTCAGCAAAAGCTCTCATGGATGATAAACTGAAGGGTATGATATTATAGTATAAAAATTAGATATTAGTATTTTACATGAAATTAGTTGAATCAAGCCTAAAGAATGCTGATAATCTGAACAGTGATTGTTATGAGTTGATAAAATAACTTCTGTGCTGCCAATGGAGAAGGAGCATAAGAAATAGGAGCAGGAAGATGCCTTTGCTCCTTGAGTCAGCTCCAGGATTAAACACAATTGTGGCTGATCTTCATCCATAATTCCACTGGCCTGAATTTCTCCCTTTCCCTTAATTATCTTAGTCTTCATAAAGCTATCAAACTCCGTCTTTAGCTCATGTAATGATAATATCTACAACCCTGTGGATAAATAATGCCAAACAGGGGAAAGAAAAGAGAGAAAAGAAGGTCGAAAGGGAACATGAAAGCTTCACTGTAGGGAACTTGCATATCTACAATCTTGTAGTTAAATTCATAATACATTCCCTACAACAACTTCACTAGCTTAGTAACAAGTCCTAAAAGACCAAATGCATGTCATCACAAGTGGCATAATATTCACTCTTTCTATGACCTTCATCTAGGCTAGGCTTGTGAAAGGATCACTTTCTGTTCCAAAAATCTTGCAAACCTGTAAATAGGAAGGGTTCCTTTCTTCATACTAGTCTTACCGCTGTCACTTCCATTCCTCAGTATTGCATTAGTTTTTAAATAACCAATATTCCTTTAAGAGTTACAAAAACAGAAATTCGTGGAGAAAATTAGCAGGTCTGGTGCATCTTTGGAGAGAAAGCAGAGTTTTGAGTCCAGTGACCCTTCTTCAAAACTGGTAATGTTGAGATTATACTTATTTAAGTACATAGAACATAGTACAACACAGGAACATGTCCTTTGGCCCGACACATCTGTGTCGACCATGATGCCATTCTAAACTAATCCCATTTGCCTGCACATGTGTCTGTATCTGTCTAGTCCCTGCCTGTTCATGTGTCTGTCTAAATTCTTCTTAAACCTTGCTAACATATTTGCTTCTACCACTCCCCTGGCAGTGCATTCCAGGCACCTACCACCCTCTGTGTAAAAGACTTTCCTCGCACATCTCCTTTAAACTTTTCCCCCTCACCTTAAACTTATGCCCCTGAGTATTTGACACCCACCTTCACAGAAAGACTCATATTTCTTTAAAGTTGATGGCACCAAGTGTGACAGTACTATGGCTTTAAGAGGTGTATTTTGTCCTTTTTATTTTGTGAAGAAAGATTGAGACAGGTACAGAGCAATCTGCTCTAGAGACAATAAAGTAAACAGCTTGTGAGTCCTTGGGTTTTTTTAAAAGTTGGAACAATAGAAGCAGCATGAATGGGTGGGGTCAAGCTCCAGAACTAGGATTTTTAGTTTTAGTTTTAGTTTTTCAGTCGCAGTTGCTGCTGGGGTTTTGAAGATGGATGTGGAAGCTGTTTTTCCTTTCCGTATTAAAGCTTAAAGCTGGGGTTCTCTTCCTGCTGGTAGAAATGCACATTGGGAATCTATTTTACTGACTTTGCTTTTGCCAAGGTTGTGTTTATGGGATGTTACTATATTGGAACAGTTACTGTATGGTAGTTAAATCATCTATTATATTAATTTTTCCAATAGAGTTGTTATTCCAATTCTTTATTTTGTTGTATTTTAATTGTAGTGTATGAATATAGTATGTTTTGCTCCAAGACTGGAAGTTTGACGAATAAAATTGAATCTTGAATGCAACCCGTGGCACTTGCCTTTAAAATAAGAAAAAGTTCAAGTTGAGGCTATCATTTTAATATTTCAAGGGGGTTTACTCTGGTCCACAACACCAAGTATGTGCGATTTGCTTCATGCACTGTTTGGTAGTATTGCTGTGGTTCTGAAGCAAAGGGGTTGTCGTTCTTCCATGAAATCAGCTTAAAATGCCATAAGTGCAAATAGCACCTAAGTAGCAACACCCTTGTCCATCATAATCATTAAAATTGCAATTATTAGCTGGAGTTTTGTGATAGTTCTCTAAAATAACCCAGAATAAAGCAGGTTTAAGAAATGGGCTCATATGTGTTACAGCCTTCAATTTTGAATATGAGCAAGGTCATTTTCATTTGGTTTAAATCAATGTTGATTTTGTGTTATTTACCAATTGTTATCTACTTTTTAAATTAGAAATGCACGTGGCAGACAGCAGCAAGGACTGTCCCAGCATTGATGAGTTGGAACAAAGTTTAAGTGAACTGAAGGTGCAGGTAAAAGGCTTGGCTGAGAGTCTGAGCCCTGAATTATTGACAGAGTACAAGAAGATAGGAGAGACAGATAGCATCTTGAGATCCAGTGGCAAAAACGGTGACTTGCTCTGCTCAACTGGTGGGACATTTCCTGAGGAGGATATAGTTGGACAAGCAACAAATCCTGATGAGTCAGAATGGTTTCTGAGGCCAAGGCATTTAGTGCAGTCACTCGGCAGATATCCAGCACTTGAAGACCTTGGGGTTCCTGTTCATTCCTTGTCACCAGTGGACCGAATGGTGGGTCTCACTGGGAGTGAGCTCTCCAGCAAAAACAACAAAACATCCACGATCTCACCCGTAGACATTGCCTACAGAGAAAGTTTTCCGCTTAAGTTCGGTGCACCACATGTAATTGGAGTCAGGGCTCTCCGTCCTCCTCAGATACCAGTCAGGCCTCAGTCTCCTGAATGGACCAGATCACCATTCCTTAGAGACCAAGCTCAGACTCTCAGGCGCCCCAGGAGCATCCGATCACGATCTCTATCCCCAGCTTCCAAACGAAGTCGTTGGCTGCAGTCCTGTTCGGAATCTCCCAAACCTGTTTGGAGACCAAATTCTATGAAAGTAAATGCATGTGGACAGCCCCCTCCCCCAATTAACAGGCAGAGGTCAGGGAGTAAGAAGATATCCTCCAACAGACTGACACATTCATATTCCTACAAACCAGGGAAGTTCAATTCAAGCTCCCAACGGTCAAGTCAGAGCCTAGATGACAGCTCAAGCTCCTTGTGGACTTCACGCAGATTGGTAGTCCCACCTGTGTCATCTCTTTCTGCTCAGGAAATCAATGAAAGGTAGTTTTCTTCAGTCTGTATCACACTGCTGCAAACAAAGTTGTAGAAATCATATATAATTTCCGTTTTTTTAAATACAGGACTTAGTATCAAAAATGAATCCCTCTCAATTGACAATTACGTCAAAAGACTGTCTAATTCTTTTTACCATTTCTGTTACCTTCCTGGGTAGTCCAATCCACACATTCACTTTGTATAATATCATTAAAACTGCACTTTCCTTCTTATAAGTTTGAGACCGTACTCATGTTTCTAGACAACTTCATTGGCATTGAATTTATAGCCTTGCTTATGAATCTTTACTAATACCTATTTTGAGCCTTCTCATATCCATAGGATATCTTCAGCCTCTGCCCAAAACTTAAGTGAAGCATCACTTTCATTGTCTCCAGTGCATAGATATCTTCCCCTTTGATACTAAGACCAAAATTATCAACAATTCTGTGGGTGGCTGTACCAGTGTTTTCCACAGATTCATTTTTTGCAATTTCTGCTCTAATTCCTTTGACTATTTTTCCTACATACTATGTTGTTGCTTTTCGTGAACTATCCATCAGTACACTCTGATTCCTGTTTTATTCTATTATCCCCTTACCGTTAAGTTGCTATTATCATAAGCTTTAAGACCATTTTCTTTCTGAGTTTGACTCCAAAACATTTTATATAGTCTGTACACAGCAACAGCTCCAAGAACTGATCGCTGTGGCACAAAGCTTCTGTCCCTTTGGTAACCTGTTTTTTGTTTCCATTTACTCAGTCTCCATAAAGCCCAAGGGCACTGAAGCCAACTGTACCTAAGCCTTCAACCCACATCAGCTAATTTAAGATAATAAGGTGTAGAGCTGGATGAACACAGCAGGCCAAGCAGTATCAGAGGAGCAGGAAAGCTGACGTTTCGAGTCGAGACCCTTCTTCAGAAATGGGGAGGGAAAGGGGATTCTGAAATAAATAGGGAGAGAAGGGGAGGCGATAGAAGATGGATAAAGGAGAAGATAGGTGGAGAGGAGACAGACAGGTCAAAGAGGCGGGGTTGGAGCCAGTAAAGGTGAATGTAGGTGGGGAGTTAGGGAGGGGATAGGTCGGTCCAGGGAGGACGGACAGGTCAAGGAGGCGGGATGAGGTTAGTGGGTAGGAGATGGGGGTGGGGCTTGAGGTGGGAGGAATGGTTAGGGAGGCGGGGACAAGCTGGGCTGGTTTTGGGATGTGATCGGGGGAGGGGAGATTTTGAAGCTTGTGAAGTCCACATTGATACCCTTGGGCTGCAGGGTTCCCAAGCGAAATATGAGATGCTGTTCCTGCAGCTTTCGGGTGGCATCATTGTGGCAATGCGGGAGGCCCAGGATAGACATGTCGTCCAAGGAGTGGGAGGGGGAGTTGAAATGGTTTGCGACTGGGAGGTGTGGTTGTTTGTTGCGAACCGAGCGTAGGTGTTCCGCAAAGCGATCCCCAAGCCTCCCCTTGGTTTTCCCGATGTAGAGGAGGCCACAACGGGAACAGCAGATACAGTATACCACATTAGCAGATGTGTAGGTGAACATCTGTTTGATGTAAAAGGTCTTCTTAGGGCCTGGGATGGGGGTGAGGGGAGAGGTGTAGGGGCAGGTGTAGCACTTGCTCCGGTTGCAGGGAAAAGTACCGGGTGTGGTGGGGCTGGAGGGGAGTGTGGAGCGGACAAGGGAGTCATGGAGAGAGTGGTCCCTCCGGAAAGCAGATAAGGGTGGGGAGGGAAAAATGTCTTTGGTAGTGGGGTCAGATTGCAGATGGTGGAAGTGTCGGAGGATAATGCGTTGGATTCGGAGGTTTGTGGGGTGGTATGTGAGGACGAAGGGGATTCTGTTTTGGTTGTTATTGCGGGTAGGGGGTGTGAGGGATGAGTTGCGGGAAATGTGAGAGACACGGTCGAGGGCATTTTCGACTACTGTGGAGGGGAAGTTGTGGTCCTTGAAAAATGAGGACATCTGGGATGTCCGGGAGTGGAATGCGTCATCTCGGGAGCAGATGCGGCAGAGGCGAAGGAATTGGGAGTAGGGGATGGCCTTTTTGCAGGATGGTGGGTGAGAGGAGGTGTATTCTAGGTAGCTGTGGGAATCGGTAGGCTTGAAATGGATATCGGTTTCCAGGTGGATGCCAAAGATAGAGACAGAGAGGTCCAGGAAGGAGAGAGAGGTATCAGAGATGGTCCAGGTGAACTTAAGGTTGGGGTGGAAGGTGTTAGTGAAGTGGATGAACTGTTCGAGCTCCTCGTGGGAGCACGAGGCGGCGCAGATACAGTCATCGATGTAATGGAGGAAGAGGTGGGGGATAGGGCCAGTGTAGCTTTGGAAGAGGGATTGTTCCACGTATCCTACAAAGAGGCAGACATAGCTTGGGCCCATGCGGGTACCCATAGCCACCCCCTTTGTCTGTAGGAAGTGGGAGGAATTGAAAGAGAAGTTGTTGAGGGTGAGGACAAGTTCAGCTAAGCGGATGAGGGTGTCAGTGGAGGGGGACTGGTCGGGCCTGCGGGACCGGAAGAAGCGGAGGGCCTTTAGGCCATCTGCATGGGGAATGCAGATGTATAGGGACTGGACGTCCATGGTAAAGATGAGGTGTTGGGGACCAGGGAATTGGAAGTTTTGGAGGAGGTGGAGGGTATGGGTGGTGTCAGGTGTGGGTGGTGTCACGGACGTAGGTAGGGAGTTCCTGGACCAAGGGGGAGAAAATGGAGTCAAGATAGGTGGAGATAAGTTCGGTGGAGCAGGAGCAGGTGGAGAAAATGGGTCGACTAGGGCAGTTAGGTTTGTGGATTTTGGGAAGTAGATAGAAACGGGCGGTGCGGGGTTGGGGAATGATGAGGTTAGAGGCTGTGGGTGGGAGGTCACCTGAAGTGATGAGGTTGTGGATGGTTTGGGAGATGATTGTTTGGTGGTCGGGGGTGGGATCATGATCAAGGGGCTGGTAGGAGGCTAACGTTGCTCCGCCCACCACCTCCACAGCCAGCAGCTCCAGAGGAGACTGTAGCACCCAGCCCTGCCGTGTCTTCACCATCCACCCAGACCTCCCCCTTACTGAGGGCGAACGGTCAGTCCTCAGTAAAGGACTCACCTTTGTCCCCCTCCACCCAAACATCGACGAATACAACTCACGTTTGGACTTTGAACAGTTTTTCTGCCGCCACCGCCTCCGCGCTTACTTCTTTAACCGTAAGCCTAACCCTCCCTCTACTGACCCCTTCTCCTGCCTCCAACACACCCCTCCTCCTGGACACTACCCCAACGCCTCCTACCCTCCCTTGACCTCTTCATCTCTAACTGCCGTCGAGACATCGATCGCCTCAACCTCTCCACCCCCCTCACCCACTCCAACCTCTCCCCCAAAGAACGTGCAGCCCTCCGTTCCCTCTGCTCCGATCCCAACCTCATCATAAAACCCGCGGAGAAGGGAGGCGCAGTTGTAGTATGGTGCACTGACCTCTACATCGCCGAGGCCAGACGCCAGCTCTCTGACACCACCTCCTACCGCCCCCTTGATCATGATCCCACCCCCAAGCACCAAACCATCATTTCCCAAACCATCCACAACCTCATCACTTCAGGTGACCTCCCACCCACAGCCTCTAAACTCATCATTCCCCAACCCCGCACCGCCCGCTTCTATCTCCTTCCCAAAATCCACAAACCTGACTGCCCTAGTCGACCCATTTTCTCCGCCTGCTCCTGCTCCACCGAAGTTATCTCCACCTATCTTGACTCCATTTTCTCCTTCCTGGTCCAGGAACTCCCTACCTGCGTCCGTGACACCACCCACATCCTCCACCTCCTCCAAAACTTCCAATTCCCTGGTCCCCAACACCTCAACTTTACCATGGACGTCCAGTCCCTATACATCTGCATTCCCCATGCAGATGGCCTAAAGGCCCTCCGCTTCTTCCGGTCCCGCAGGCCCGACCAGTCCCCCTCCACTGACACCCTCATCCGCTTAGCTGAACTTGTCCTCACCCTCAACAACTTCTCTTTCAATTCCTCCCACTTCCTACAGACAAAGGGGGTGGCTATGGGTACCCGCATGGGCCCAAGCTATGTCTGCCTCTTTGTAGGATACGTGGAACAATCCCTCTTCCAAAGCTACACTGGCCCTATCCCCCACCTCTTCCTCCATTACATCGATGACTGTATCTGCGCCGCCTCGTGCTCCCACGAGGAGCTCGAACAGTTCATCCACTTCACTAACACCTTCCACCCCAACCTTAAGTTCACCTGGACCATCTCTGATACCTGTCTCTCCTTCCTGGACCTCTCTGTCTCCATCTTTGGCATCCACCTGGAAACCAATATCCATTTCAAGCCTACCGACTCCCACAGCTACCTAGAATACACCTCCTCTCACCCACCATCCTGCAAAAAGGCCATCCCCTACTCCCAATTCCTTCGCCTCCGCCGCATCTGCTCCCGAGATGAAGCATTCCACTCCCGGACATCCTAGATGTCCTCACTTTTCAAGGACCATTTTTCAACTTCCCCTCCACAGCCCTCGACCGTGTCTCTCACATTTCCCGCAACTCATCCCTCACACTCCCTACCCGCAATAACAAAAACAGAATCCCCTTCGTCCTCACGTACCACCCCACCAACCTCCGAATCCAACGCATTATCCTCCGACACTTCCACCATCTGCAATCTGACCCCACTACCAAAGACATTTTTCCCTCCCCACCCTTATTTGCTTTCCGGAGGGACCACTCTCTCCGTGACTCCCTTGTCCGCTCCACACTCCCCTCCAGCCCCACCACCCCCGGCACTTTTCCCTGCAACCGGAGCAAGTGCTACAACTGCCGCTACACCTCCCCACTCACCCCCATCCCAGGCCCTAAGAAGACCTTTTACATCAAACAGATGTTCACCTACACATCTGCTAATGTGGTATACTGTATCCGCTGTTCCCGTTGTGGCCTCCTCTGCATCGGGAAAACCAAGGGGAGGCTTGGGGACCGCTCTGCGGAACACCTACGCTCGGTTCGCAACAAACAACTACACCTCCCAGTCGTGAACCATTTCAACTCCCCCTCCCACTCCTTGGACGACATGTCTATCCTGGGCCTCCTGCATTGCCACAATGATGCTACCCGAAAGCTGCAGGAACAGTATCTCATATTTCGCTTGGGAACCCTTGGGAACCAAGGGTATCAATGTGGACTTCACCAGCTTCAAAATCTTCCCTCCCCTGACCGCATCCCAAACCCAGCTCGTCCCCGCCTCCCTAACCATTCCTCCCACCTCAAGCCCCACCCCCATCTCCTACCCACTAACCTCATCCCGCCTCCTTGACCTGTCCGTCCTCCCTGGACCAACCTATCCCCTCCCTAACTCCCCACCTACATTCACCTTTATTGGCTCCAACCCAGCCTCTTTGACCTGTGTGTCTCCTCTCCACCTATCTTTTCCTTTATCCATCTTCTATCCGCCTCCCCCTCTCTCCCTATTTATTTCAGAATCCCCTTCCCCTCCCCCATTTCTGAAGAAGGGTCTCGACCCGAACGTCAGCTTTCCCTGCTCCTCTGATACTGCTTGGCCTGCTGTGTTCATCCAGCTCTACACCTTGTTATCTCAGATTCTCCAGCATCGGCAGTTCCTAATATCTCAGCTAATTTAATGCAAGTTGGATAATAAACTTACAACCTTTTCTAGTTTGTGTGTTAGTTAAATGCTCACTGGCTTTAACCCATTGAGCATCAGAGAGCCACCTAATTTGTTCTTGTAGACTTTATGCAAAAAAAATCCACTTGTAACTGGAAACCCAATACTTAGTCTCCTGATATACAAACAAAGGGCAGGAATAGGCCATTTGATCACTCAAGCTTGCCCTGTCATTTAATAAGATCAGGACTGATCTGATTGTCACCTCAAATCCACATTCTCATCTACTCCTTATAACCTTTAACCTCTTCTGCTTCTGTAATTTTCGCTTGTCTTGCCTTTGCAGTTTAATTTAGTTTAAACCTAAAATCACAAAATTGTGCCATCTGCAGAAAATAAAAATTTTAATTATAATATTAAAAATTGCTGATCAGACGAACTGAATAGTTTGCTAGCCTTTAGAAATCACCAGACACGGGTGTTGTGATAGAGTTTAACAAGAACAGCAAAAAATAAACGAACAAGCAGGCAGGTTTTGCAGGGAGAAACTTTATTTTTAAGAAACAGCTTGCTCTTCAAGACATTATGTTCAGTAAGGCAAAATCCAGGAGCGAAATTAATAATATTCAGTGATTCCAGAACATGGTATTTGATGAAGAAAGAAACATTTTGTGATGGAAATGGTGTGCGCGTCAGCTTCCTTTACCTTTCTCTGGTAGATTCCTGCAGTCACTGGCAGAGGGCGATGTCAGACAATCATTGGTGGAAATGTCGCCATACCAACAAGAACTCTCTCATCTGAGGTTGGAACGTCTCAGAGTTGAGGAAGGGGTCCACAGCCCAAGTGGTGAGTGAGAAATGAAGCAGATGCAAAGCTGTTCTGAATTCCACTGAATTTGGAACGGCCTCTTTTTGAATTAGTCACAGGAGATTTTAAAAAAGCCACGTGTTCCCTCTCCCCCGCAGAACGTGCAGCCCTCTGCTCCCTCCGCTTCAATCCCAACCTCACCATAAAACCCGCAGACAAGGGAGGCGCAGGTGTAGTATGGCGCACTGACCTCTACATTGCCGAGGCCAGACGCCAACTCTCTGACACCTCCTCCTACCGCCCCCTTGATCAAGACCCCACCCCCGAGCACCAAACCATCATTTCCCAAACCATCCACAACCTCATCACCTCAGGTGACCTCCCACCCACGGCCTCCAACCTCATCGTTCCCCAACCCCGGACCACCTGCTTCTATCTCCTTCCCAAAGTCCACAAACCTGAGTGCCTTGGTCGACCCATTGTCTCTGCCTGCTCCTGCCCCGCTGAACTTATCTCCAACTACCTGGACTCCATTTTCTTCCCCTTGGTCCAGGAACTCCCTACCTACATCCGTGACACCACCCACGCCCTCCACCTCCTCCAGAACTTCCAATTCCCTGGTCCCCAACACCTCATCTTTACCATGGACGTCCAGTCCCTATACACCTGATTCCCCATACAGATGGCCTAAAGGCCCTCCGCTTCTTCCTGTCCCGCAGGCCCGACCAGTCCCCCTCCACTGACACCCTCATCCGCTTAGCTGAACTCGTCCCCACCCTCAACAACTTCTCTTTCACTTCCTCCCACTTCCTACAGACAAAGGGGGTGGCCATGGGTACCCGCATGGGCCCAAGCTATGCCTGCCTCTTTGTAGGTTACGTGGAAAAATCCCTCTTCTGTACCTACACTGGCCCTAAACCCCACCTCTTCCTCCGTTACATTGATGACTGTATCGGCGTCGCCTCGTGCTCCCACGAGGAGCTCGAACAGTTCATCCACTTCACTAACACCTTCCACCCCAACCTTAAGTTCACCTCGACCATCTCTAATACCTCTCTCACCTTCCTGGACCTCTCTGTCTCCATCTTGGGCAACCACCTAGAAACCGATATCCATTTCAAGCCCACTGACTCCCACAGCTACCTAGAATACACCTCCTCCCACCCACCTTCCTGCAAAAATGCCATCCCCTATTCCCAATTCCTTCGCCTCCACCGCATCTGCTCCCAGGATGAGGCATTCCACTCCCATACATCTCAGATGTCCTTGTTTTTCAAGGACCGCAACTTCCCCTCCTCAGTGGTCGAGAACGCCCTCGACCGTGTCTCCCGCATTTCCCGCAACTCATCCCTCACACCCCATCCCTGCAATAACAACCAAAAAAGAATCCCCCTCATCCTGATGTACCACCCCACCAACCTCCGGATCCAACGCATCACCCTCCGACACTTCTGCCATCTGCAATCCGACCCCACCACCAAAGACATTTTTCCCTCCCCACCCTTATCTGCTTTCCAGAGGGACCATTCTCTCCATGACTCCCTTGTCCGCTCCACACTCCCCTCCAGCCCCACCACACCCGGCACTTTTCCCTGCAACTGCAGGAAGTGCTACACCTGCCCCCACACCTCCTCCCTCACCCCCATAGGCCCCAAGAAGACTTTCCACATCAAGCAGATGTTCACCAGCACATCTGCTAATGTGGTATACTGCATCCGCTGTACCCGCTGTGGCCTCCTCTACATCGGGGAAACCAAGCGGAGGCTTGGGGACCGCTTTGCAGAACACCTATGCTCAGTTCGCAATAAACAACTGCACCTCCCAGTAGCGAACCATTTCAACTCCCCCTCCCATTCCTCAGACGACATGTCCATCCTGGGCCTCCTGCAGTGCCACAACGATGCCACCCAAAGGTTGCAGGAACAGCAACTCATATTCCGCTTGGGAACCCTGCAGCCCAATGGTATCAATGTGGATTTCACAAGCTTCAAAATCTCCCCTCCCCCTACCACATCCCAAAACCTAACCTGTTCTTCCTCCCACCTCAAGCCGCACCCCCATCTCCTACGTACAAACCTCATCCCGCCCCCTTGACCTGTCTGTCCTCCCTGGACTGACCTATCTCCTCCCTACCTCCCCACCTACACTCACCTTTACTGGCTCCATCCCCGCCTCTTTGACCTGTCTGTTTCCTCTCCACCTATCTTCTCCTCTATCCATCTTTTATCCGCCTCCCCCTCTGTCCCTATTTATTTCAGAACCCCCTTCCCCTCCCCCATTTCTGAAGAAGGGTCTAGGCCCAAAACGTCAGCCTTCCTGCTCCTCCGATGCTGCTTGGCCTGCTGTGTTCATCCAGCTCTACACCTTGTTATCTCAAGTGTTCCCTACCGTTCGTTCTTGAGTACAGATTCTGTGCGGGTATGGTAGCTTTGAAGTATTGAATATATGCTAAATAGCAATATCACACTTTAGGAAGAATGTTAAACACAGTAGGGGGTTGGGATCAGATTATGATGCCAGCAATGGGAATTTGTGTGGAGAGATTGGACTAGCTGGAGTTGTTCCCTTTAAAGTAGAAAAAGTTGAGGTTTTTATGGAGGTGTTCAGCATCATGAATACTTTGGAAAGCATAAACAAAAGGAAGCCAATTGTGGTGGAAAAACAGTTGGTAACTAGAAGATAAAGAGTGAAGATGTTACTCTAAGAAACCTAAGGAGATATAAGGAAACTTCTCTACAGTGAGTTCTGATATGGAATACACTGTCCAAAGGGTGATGACAGCAGATTCAGTAATAATATTCAAAAAGGAATTGGAGAAATACTTAGAGAATAGAAACTCACAGGACAGTGGAGAAAGAGCAGGGGTGTTGGATTAATGGGAGGGCTGTACCACAAACGTGATGGGATGGCTTGTCCCCTTATAATCATTCTCTGACAACCAGGCTTGTCCAGACATTCTCAAAGACACAGGGAGTTGAGATTTATCTAGTGAAGTAATTTAAGATACAGGAATCAAAAACTTGATTTAAAAAAAGGATATAAAACATCTAAAAGGATGGCATGGAATTTCATAACCTAAGGTGACACTGCTTTAACCAAGCAACACCACCCCATAGCAGCACTTATTGAATATAGAAAACATGCATGACTGCTGGCAGTAATCTTCCTGAGGAGTTCTGGTAAACCAGAAGGACATGGCATGATTCATTTGCAGCTATCACCATGAGCAAGGATGTATATAATTTATATACTGTACCATTAATCACAAGTGCCTGTGACTGGCTACAGTCTGTTATAAATCATCAGTGTCTGGTCTGATTGTGGTCTGTTATAAATCATAGATTTCTAAAATTGATTACAGTATATAATTAGTAGGGTCTTGTTGCAGTTGGATGGTTCCTGTTCCACCTGGCAACAAAATGATGTTGCGCTAAGTTGCATGCAGCAAAACTGATTCAGCCACCATTTTCTTTAAAAGATCATCAAATTCTACAAACAAATTATTCAGCAAAATGGAGACAATTTAACATGTGTGTTCTAATCTTACAGTCAGACAATTGTTAAAAATTACTGCACCCTTACTGTCATAATTTATGACATCTAAAGCTCACATTTAGATTCATGAACTGCATTCTCTTGAGGATCCAGTGTTTATTTTGTATTTGAGATAGGTTAAGGTTGTTCCTTGTATCCAAAATCTGTAGTATTTTGGGATCATTGTTCTGGAATCAATTTGTTTTTAAAGAGTTGAGAAGATTGATTTTTCATCTTTCTAGGTATGAAATGAAAGGATCTCACTTCCATTATGAAGCTCACAAGAACCATGAACTGTTATGAAGCAGTAAGGACTGGCAGTCTGTGTTTAAATATCAGGAGGATCTGCTCTCTACATCTAAGGACTTCATTCCAACTGGCTGTCACAGTAATCCAGATTCTGTGTGATATTCAACAGTAACTATTCTTCTGGTTGCCTAACATTCAATCATCTAGGCATTTAAACAAAAGACTTCCAGATGCATCTACTTAAAAGTAGGAATATTATCCTGTGTAGACAGGTCTCATTGACATGCTACGGTATTATCAAACAACAGTGCGAGATCTGAGATCACCACCAGAAATAAGGGTTTCATCCTGACTGGAGTGAAGCAGAATGAAGTTGAGTTTAAGAATTTGCCAAGGTGGTTTGAGAGATTCCTGGGCCTGTTTATGAATACCCTGCTTTCCAATAATATGAAGAAAAGTGATAATGGAATGGAACTATGTACATAAATGTTAGCAATCTGCAGGCAGGCAGAATGTGAATCATAACTGTGTGTAATATACAGTTGCATCTTGCATTGTACAGCTTTTATTGTCAGAGTGGTGGTATAGTAACTGTATCATGAAATGATATAATTTTAATGTAAAGAGTATGAATGATTTTCTGAAACTTTTATCCTGGAAAGCAAGTTTGCTATCTAGTTCTGATTTCATTTTGATAAAGCTGCTGGTTTCAAAAATGCAAGAAAGCAAAGTACTCATATCCTGCAAACATGTCAGCTTTCTATAAAGATTCAACATTATAAAAATAGATTTGCAGCAAACATTACAATTCTTTGCCAGGAAATGAATGCTTTTCTAAGCCTTACGCTTCACAGTTCCTTGTATGCTGCCTTTGCAGTTGTAACATATGCAGTATCAAAAGATACATACAGATCATGAAGGCATTTGGGGCCAACTTCTTTGGATACAAATTCTACACCCTCATCCTTCAACCATTGTCACAGCATCCAACTGTACCATTCTGGTATTTGTTTCCAATTGTCTACCTAACTGACATCAGTTCTAATATGCCTTAAATTAATTTTAACCTGTAGCTCGTATAATCGCTGATTTAACTTTTTCTTTTATTGCATCTTTTACTACATATTGCTTTAAGGTTGTTGCTCAGTCACTTCCTTTCAATGCTGAAAGACTAAAGTTTCTCCAGTTTTCTTCTTGTTATTTAGTTTGTTTGACGCACAAGATCAGCCTAATGACTTCACATCACTTCCTCAATGCTTGACTATTTCCTTAATGCTTTGTTGGCCAATGATGTCGTCTGCTTTGACTGCTGGTTCATTATAATTTCCACTAATTTACATACTCTTGTACACAATTCATTCAGAATTTCTTTTGTTTTATTGATTCCAGCAACGCAGTGATTACATACGTCAAGCAGCATGTCTGCTTATTCAGTGACATCTTTTTCGACTTCACCCTTCAACAATTTGGGCGAGGTCCACCTGCTGCTCAACATAGAGCTTTCTAGAATCCATTTGGGATGTCATATCATCTTAAAAGAAGTAAATTAGCTTAGTTAGGCAAAATCATCCCCTTTTGTACCTGTTGGCTGAAGTAATTAAACTGCTTAATCAAAATCAAGATAGTTTCATTTAATGTAACTGTGACAACATAAACATTTTTGGTTTTAAATATGGTTCTGATCTGTAACAGTAATATTAATTTTGCACGCCATGGTTTAGGTCTGGTGTGTAGGTAAAGTTGTTAGAGATCAAAGTATCAAAATTGTAAAGAAGTTGGTGAATTTATTGTTGTCTATATTTTCCATTAGTGGGAGTCAGTGGTTTGCTGATAGGGGTCAATGCATTTATTGATGCGTTTGTCGTTGGTTTGTTTGTTATTGATGGGGTCATTTATTTATTGTCGATGCGGGCTGGGTGCCTTTCTGATGATGAGGGACAGAGGGTTTTTTGTTGTTGGATGGAGAGAGAAGGTCTATCATTGATGGAAGGGAAGAAAGGCTTATTGTCAATTGTGCAGGATAAAGAGTCTGTTGTTGACTGGTTCCAAGGGTTTATAATTTATGGAGGGTGCTGTTGGTTGCTCATTTTTGATAGAGGACAGTGCATTTATCACTGATAATATGATGTTAGCATTAATTAGGTTGTTTGTTTTGATTTTGTTTTGCACCATTTCCAGGGTTTAAGCATCACCCTAATGTCTCTGTAATTAAATATAATTTGGCTGGAGCAGTGTATCAGCATGACTTCCTTCAACTTGCCCTCTCTTAATTTTCCAACAACTCAGCATTCTATTAGCTTTGCTTATTTGCTGTTCCACGATGATGTAAAATGTTGAATCACAGGCTTAGTTGTACTATTAGGAAAATCTGTGCCAGTATCATAGGTGTGAGGTCAGTAATATTATTTATTGAGGAATGCTCAATGACAAGGCTGATGACAGAGATATTTTATCAAGTGTGTGTATTGTTGGGAGCGGAGTGTTAGGAAATGGAATGGGTGGGGACACAGTTCTAATAACATTATATTTGGCTGGGTGGATTTAATTGAAGAGAAATGTAATTTGTCCCACATTAATTATATCAATGTGTTTACATCCTTAAATGTTCTGTGATCTAAGTGATATGTGGCAGTATTTGGACGTAATGGAGGGACAGTGTGTAATATATTTTAAGGGTAGAGTGTGAGATAAGGGAGAAACAAGTGATTTTTCTGAAGAAAGGAAATGAGCTATTATGTGATTAGTACATTGTGTTACTGAGGGTATTTTCCTTGCTATAGTTTTTGTGTCAGATTTACTGAAATAACAGGAAAAAGAACATATGAGTGCTGATGCATGCAAGGCATGGCCACTCACCCAGAAAGGACAGAATCAATCTTGCCTTTGAGTTAGTTATACAAAAAAGAAAAATTTGCCTCCTGCCCCTTCTTTATCATCAAAGATTAATTGCAGTTTGATTCATGATCAAACTCTATAATGCTACAGTAATTAAGTCTTCAATGATATTAATTTGTAAAGCAACTGAGCAACTGCTTTGATGTTACAATATAGGGTTGTCATGATGTATTGTAACTAGAAGGCTGAGCTGCTCAGAATATATTTGAGTCAGTGTTCTGATTTTCAATAATGCACTGAAAAGTTTGAGCCGTTCGCACTTTGCCCTCTAAATTTTACCAGCAGTCAAATTTTACAGCAGCAGCTCAGACGAAAGTTTATGTATATGTAGAGCAGGTGCCCCATGGTGCTGCTGATTGAGGGAACAGGATCTCTGCGTTTTACCTGTCTGAGATAGCAGGGGGAGGGAGGGAGAGGGGTGTTGGAAGCTAGGGAGCAAAAATTTGCAAGATAAAGAAATGCCACTGCAAAAAGAAAAGATGGTGATAATTTCCAAATGGTCATTAAGACCAGAAGATAGATAGGGTGACACTGAATAGAAGGAGAAAATGTAAAAGGCCATCAGAGACTAGAAGAAGAAGGAAAACTTTTGGGAACTTGTACAGGACACGAGGAAGAGATTGGAAGGCAAACATTTGGTTATAAATAAGAGATAACACAGTGTGCAGCCCCATTTCTGAAGAAGGGTCTCGACCTGAAACGTCAGCTTTCCTGCTCCTCTGATGCAGCCTGGCCTGCTGTGTTCATCTAGTTCCGACTCCAGCAGCAGCAGTTCTTACTAACTCTAAGCATTTGGTTAATTTGTTTTGGCTGCTGACAGCGCATTATCAAATTTAAAGGGTTTATGTTTTGGGTAAAATACCTCAATCATAGTTGGAGCGAGGAAAATCAGGCAGGGTTTGCAACTAAATTCAATGTTGAAAGGGAGAAAATGGTGTATTGAAAGTAATTGAAGTCTTTGTTACTGTGACAGAATTACCCATTGATTCAGTAGATTGGAGGAATGCCAACACTGCTAATTCAAGATTATTGGTATAAAAACTTATACCAGAACTTCACCTGTCAATGTGTGTCTACATTAGTGATTTGGTATGCAATGAACCTCAAAATGGAACATAAGAACATAAGAACTAGGAGCAGGAGTAGGCCGTCTGGCCCTTCGAGCCTGCTCCGCCATTCAATAAGATCATGGCTGATCCTTTCGTGGACTCAGATCCACTTACCCGCATTCTCACCGTATCCCTTAATTCCTTTATTGTTCAAAAAAAATCCAGCTTGTTTTTTTAAAAGCGTTTACTGAAGTAGCGTCAACTACTTCACTGGGCAAGGAATTCCATAGATTAACAACCTTCTGGGTGAAGAAATTCCTTCTCAGTTCAGTCCTAAATCTGCTCCCTCTAATCTTGATAAATTACAGTATGTGGTCCTTCAGTAAACATCATGGCTTGAATTAATGTTCAAGATCTTTCACTGTGACATTGCTGAATTTTTAATATGTAATTTTGTAGATTTGCAGCACCATTTTATGCCATTATGCTGCAGGGGGTCAGCTTTGTCTCAGTAATATATTAATCAGTGAGTAATTCAGCCAGTGTCCAAAAAATCCAAGGTTTGGTTCTGTACTGACTTAACTGATCATAGAATCATAGAATCCCTATAGTGTGGAAACAGGCCCTTCAGCCCAACAAGTCCACACCAACCCTCCGAGCATCACACCTAGACCTATCCCCCTATAACCCATCTAATCTACACATCCCTGAACACTATGGGCAATTTAGCATGGCCAATCCATCTAACCTGCACATCTTTGGACTGTGGGAGGAGACTGGAGCACCCGGAGGAAACCCATGCAGACATGCGGAGAATGTGCAAACTCCACACAGACAGTCGCCCGAGGGTGGAATCAAACCCAAGTGTGTGGCACTGTGAGGCAGCAGTGCTGACCACTGAGCCACCGTGCCTCTCAATCAAAATCAAGTAGAAGTCTTCTAATTGGCCTTGTGTCTTCAGGCGGGTTATGGCTTTGGTGTGATTCTCTTCCATTTTTAGTAGCCTGTCTTAAATTGCTTAAGAGATAACATGCAAAGCAAAATTTTAATTTCTAAATGGAGACAGCACCAAAAATGACTTCAACCTTTACTCAACTGTCAGAGCCTATTAAATTTGGGTTGGATTTACTGAGATGAGCTAGGTTTTTGTTTCAGAGATTGTTTTTTGCTCCAACATAGTATGCATTGAATGAGGGAACTTGCACAGTATACATTCATTGAACCTAAGCTTACAAGCAGGATTAGCTATTACCTTCCAAAGTCAGGAGAAGAAAATCACCAAGAGACATAAGTTCTTTTAGATGCGGAGACATATGTCTACACTTTGATTAGATTGCATTCCCAATACTTAAGAGTATTGTGTTTGATTGTTACCAGCATTTTCAATGCAATAACTGGCCTATACACTTTAGATTATTACAAATGTTGATTTGTCTACAGTTTCAAATTATTTTCAATTGAATCCTTTAATCAAATTTGGGCTTTTTTTTTAATCTGACTTTGTTTTAAAAATCAGTGTCTAAAATTTTCTGTTGCATTGTAATGATGGGAAATAAAGTCTTCTCACCAGTGGTTCAAAGCAGATTATTCTTAAGAAAAAAGCATTCACAGGAGACATTAAACAGTATTCAATCACATTCTACATGGTTATGCATTAATGTGCAATTGTGTTGTTTATTCTTAGATTGCTTTCTTAATGATTCACTTTTCTGGTATTTTGGTTAATGTGTACTGACCTATTAAAAGGTGGATTTAAAGAAATGCAAATTTACTGCTAGTGATGCATAACCACCAGTAGTGAAGTGTTATGCCTGGAATACAGACGGTTTAATAACCCATAAACGCTGTATAACTATCCATTGACATTAGGACTACTGAACAACAGACTATACAGACTGATAGTGGTGTAATTGAAACGTGCAGTTCATTCTACACACAACAATCTTTTCAATGTGATTCTTTGCTTTTGTGGTCGATTTAAAAAACACACCCTACAATAACAGCATTATTGTAATAGATGTCTTTTGCTAAAAATATATTTTGCAAATAATGAATCAGTACTCCTGAAAGAACAATCAGTTTGGAAATTAGTCACTTAATAGTCAGGAACGATAAAATGTTGAAACTGTAAACCATAAACAGAGGGATGAAGATAAATTACTGGGACACGACAGTCAAGCTGTCTCATTACATACAAAAAGAATCCTAAGACTAAGCATTCGACTTCGGGGTCCATCTGACAATTTTCACTGTGTACAGAACACACGTTTATAGTTTCTCCATGTTCTCTGTTTAACATGACAAATACAATGTGCTTCTAATGAGGCATTGAAACCCATTGCATTGTCGAGTGAGGTCATCACTATGTTTCCTAATGTGCTTTCTATTTTAGCAGAGACCTAGAATCACTAGGGCACAGAAGGAGGCCAACCATCCCATTTATGGGAAACTTCAAGTTATCGGAAGAGAATACATCACTTTCAAAGTATGAGCTGTAGTGTAATTACTTGTGGAATCATTTTATCTGCAGTACAAATGAATTCACATTTTAGTTGATACAGGAATGGCTTACACACATTTAATGACTGTGTGTAGAAACCAAATATATAAACTGCTAAATTTACAGAGCTGTACAGAGATTAGGTAGTTATTGAACTCTCATGTTAGTGTTTCAGATCTGACAAACAAAATCATGTAAATTTGCACTTTCTTAAGGAAGTGTCAAAGTAAAATCTAGCCCCATATCTGGCACAATCTAAGATCTTACATTTTGTCTGTTTCACAGAATTTGTTATTGGTTCTTAACCACACATTCACATAAGCACTTTCCAATGGGAGTCACTGAGATGGTAATCGAAAGGAGGGATCCTGGTTAACATTTCATTTGCCTTGCAGCTTGCCCATGATGAGCTAACTCATTGCAGACTAGGATTCAAACCCATGACATTCTGTAAAGCATGGTACCTACACTGAACAGCATATTTTGCCCAGTGACCTAGCAAGCAGAGTCATCCCTTTTCAAACAGTAAAAGTTGTTTAGCTGTACAGGAGGCCAACTTCTTCTCAAAAAATTTTATTAAAAATAAGTAAAAATGCTTTGAACTGCTATGGCTGCAACACTGCCTCTTGAGATGTTTCTCAGAATAAATCCTGCAGCAGCAGAGCTATATTACACCTTTAGCATTAGTACTGAAAACATCATATATAAAAAAAGAATTCAGTTGTACTCGTGCCAAAGGTGCAGTGCAGGATTGCCTGTGAACCAGATTTTTGCAGTTTGATGCATCAAAATGAAATGGAATCTTAAGAGTGTCACAACGACATGGATCTCAGCCCTGTCCAATAAGAATGGGAAAACAAGCAGAAGATGATCTGGGCAGTCTCACAATCAAAAAATTCTCACCAAACTCCAACACCGAGACTGAAAGATCATCAGACTTAAAATGGGGAAGGTTGAGTGTGCTGAGAACTTGGAATCACAGCACAATGAATTACTGGGAATCTACACAGTTCATTTGCTTATACAACGTTGATGCAAAGTGACCATCCCCTGATTGAGCATCATTCAACTCTGCAAGTAAATTGCAGAAAGTTTATTATTAATGCCAGCTAATTTCTGGTGTGGCAAGTCCTCCTTTCGTTCTATGGCTTCTACTGTCTTAAAGATTTATTTGTCATTTTACCAGCATTGATCCTCTTGAGTGCAGAATGATTTGGCAGATTCTGTCCCGAGAGATAAGGAATCTGAAAGAGAAAAACAGACAAGAGTTAGGATAGATTGTTAATATCTTTCATTTTATACGAAAATCTAACTTAAGAATGAATGAAAGCCATTCAAATTCGAACACAAATACCATCCTCTTATATCGAACTTAACCATTGCTGCTTTTTCCTCTAGTACTCTAATTTACCCATTGGTATTCATTCTTCTAATATCTGTCACAGCACATAACTGTGGTGTCCTCTCACCTATCAATACTTGTGTTTTGTTCATATAACTGACTAATCATAATATGGCCCTCTGGTACACCAAGTCATTTATCTGTTTCCAGTACCCAACTCATTGTCACTTGTTCCTCATTTACGCAAGCTTGTCCATCATAGTCTGTCCCTTAGGTACCCCACATAGCCCATCAATGCATGCCTCCTTTAGTACTATAACACACCCAAAGTTGGTCATTATATTATGCTAATTCTGCCATTAAAGCCCATTCCTCTAATATGTTTCAAGTACTCCAAATTTAATTTTGATGGCAGCTCCCCTAGAACCCAAACTAACCTAACAATGTCAGTCCTTGAAATTTATCCATCAATATTCTTGACTCCAATACGCAACTCTCATAGAAAGTTAAATCCCTCTATAATCCTAATTTGCCCATTAGTAACCCTGAGTCCCTCTAACACTGCCCCACCAATAACCATCCCCCAATGCTCTGACTGACAATACAACATTCAGCTACAGTTCAAATGCCGCTGGAATTTATGCTTTTGCTCTGCCTAGAGTTCCAACACTGTTTTACTATAAGTATTCAAACAGTAAATTGAAACAAATGGCCAAGCTGTTTGTAAACTTAACTATTAGGCAAATCTTGAATCAGTCTGATTATCTGATATGGAATCTACTCTTAAAATTGTTCTGGTATTCCAGTGAGCAACGTGCGCTGATGTGATGCATTTATCCAAGTGCTACAGTTAGGCTGCAATTAAGCTGATGTCCACATCATGACAAAGCACTGAAGCCAACAGTGACTGTTTGGCAGGGGTCCATTCATAATTTGGAGTTATTTTAATTATTTTATGATTTACTTTCACAGCCAGTACTCTTGTCCATCCTTAATTGTCTTTGAACTGAGTGACTTGCTTGGCCATATCAGAGTGCAGTTATTGGTCAACCATATTTCTGTGGGTTTGGAGATCAGGTAAGAATGGAAGATTTCCTTTCCAAAAAAGGCATTAACGATCATATATAACACAGTGTGGAGCTGGAGGAACACAGCAGGCCAGGCAGCATCAGAGGAGCAGGAAAGTTCGGGTCGGGACCCTTCTTCAGAATTTTGGCAGTTCTTACTATCTCATTAATGATCATATAGGTCATTTACTGTAATCAATGATATTTCTCTTGGTGACCATCACTGAGACTAGCTTTATATTTCCAATTTACTTAATTGAATTTAAAGTCCACCAGTTGCTGCAGTGGGATTTGAATAGTGCTTGCATTAATAGCAGGGGTCCAGATTTCATGGTTAGATAAGGGGGTAAGTTGTTGCATTTGGGAGGTGACCGATTAGAGAAGTCAAGTTGCTATTCATTCCGTACCCTTTTTCTTTCCTTTATCCTCCACAACTAAATCGCCTAGGTTTCTGAATCAATTACCATTTATAAGCAAAACCTGTCAGGGGTAATACAATTACACCAAAAGTGAGGAAAAGGTATGGAGAGAGTGAGGGGACAAAATCAAAGTGGAGTTATAGGGTCATACAGACCCTTTGGTCCAACCAGTCTATGCTGACCATAATTCCAAAATAAACTAGTCGCATCTGCCTGCACTTGGCCCATATTCCTCCAAATGTTTCTTATTCATGTATTTATCTAGATGTCTTTTAAATGTTGTAACTGTACCCCCGTCCACCACTTCCTTTGGAAGTTCATTCCACACATGAACCACTGTGTGTAAAAAATTGCCATTGTTGGAGGGTACAATAAGGTATTCCACCCCCTGTTGCCCATTTCTATTTAAAGGTATTGAGAGTGTTGGTGGATAGCATATGCTCTGCTTCGAGGATGGCTGGATGCAAATGTAGCCGCAGAAGAGGAGCAGTCAGTTGGGAATAATGACCTCCTCCATTGCTTGCTGCCTGGACATGTTGAACTTCATTCACTATATACAGCAATCTACAATTAATCTAAAGTCATGGTGAGATGCGCAAATTATCTAATGACTGGCGACCCTAAGTGAAACAAAGGACAATCTTAATGCACCAAATACAATTATTATTGGTGATGTTATTGTAATGTATTTTATTTGCATGTGTGCACTCATAGATACATTTCACCTGGCTAAATGGCCAGGCTTAGTAGCCCTGGCTTGATCCAGTGACCTACCTTGTCGCTGCGGTGTGTGTACTGTCCTGCACAAGCCTTGCCCTGTGCCATTTCTGTACACTGCTTTCACACAAATCCGGTTGTCAGCACCAGGAGTAAGGTCTGTTAAGAGCACACTTTGGACCTGTGCCGGGATGGTTCTCACGGAGGGGCTTCTTTGATGACGAGTGCATCGCACTCTATAGTTAAGTACTCTTCCTCTGGCAGGATCCCATGAGGCTATGACACTAGTGGGGCTAATGTCAGTTAGTTTCAGGTTGTCGACTTTGAAATTCACTGTTCAGATCAAAAAACAGAGGACAAAAATGATCTTCAGTTCGAGAAAAGACCTCAGATTAGCAACGCACACCCAGTGGTAAATAATTATCCTGTGTTTCTAATATGTTCTACTGTACTCTTGTTTGTTACGTTGGTATGCTGACAAGAGAGTGGCTTGATTTTGGTAGAGACTATTCCACAACGTGAAGTATTTTGCTTCCAGGAGGGTGTTTTGCCTAATACATCAATTCTTATATATTCCCTTGTAACATAAATTATATTTGAACATCATGATATTGATGAATCCAACAGATTAGCTATTGTAGATAAACACTGCATTTTTTAGACACCAAAGTGTCTGGGCTAATATTGAAGTAAATAAGTTACACTAAGCAGCGTGTTAGAAAAGACTATCATTTTATTTTCTGTATTTTTGGTTGTGGATTGAAATGGAAAAATGACTTTTTAAAAAATCAAGAATTATGGAAGGAATTAGTATACATTTAAAAACAAAAGCTACCGAAAGTCAGTATGTGTAGGGTTTACACTGCTGCTTTGTTCAAACAGTGGGACAAGGCTATTTATAGATGGCTTTGCACCAGGAGATGTATGCAAAGTGAGATTTGACCAGCAAAAAATAGCTGATTGGTTTGTGCAATTGTGACAAATTGTGGATGCCAGAGGTCATCAGTCCAATGAGAACTCTAACTCGTTCTCGAGTAGCTGAGCAGCTTGCAGATACAGTGCTTGAACAATACAGTGAGAAGCTTTCATGCTTCTGGAAGAACAAATTGTGTATCTCTCATACTGCAGCACCTGTTGCTATGAGCTGAGTCTCCTGTGAAGAAGTGAAAAGAACCTGGAGAAAAAGAGATTGAAAAACAGAAAGTCCTGGCAACCAAAGGGATCATCTCAGCAAATCTTGTGGACTGGTGCTATCGAACCAGTTCAAGCTCCTTCCACCCATAAAACCATGTATTGAGGAGACGCATGTGTTGAGGAGTTTTAAAAAAAGGAAGTCGAGTTTTAACTAGTAGAACTATGTGTTGATAGTTCACAGCTGTTACTTGTAATTCGACTTTACTTTTTTGTAATAAATAAGAATTTTTGTTAAGTACAGGAACCCAGTTAGTGTTTCCTGTTAGCTTGACTCCAACAGACAAGTAAATTCAGGACATTGAATACTTTGATTAAATCATTAACTTTTGTTGCTACTCCAGGAGCAGTGGGAATAGAAGCAGTGTGATTTCCCAAGTAGGATCATGACATGTCATGTCTCAAGTGATCTGAGTTAAGATGAGTCTGGGATCCTTAAATTCCTGTCCAAGCTGAAGTCACCACCTTCTCAACCTTGCCCCTCGCCTGAGACATGTTCCCCGAACCCCCACCCACCACCACCGCCTCAGGTTAAACAATCAGTCATTTCTCTCTAATGGGAGTGCAGCCCTTTGGTCCTCTGGAACTATGGTGACTTTACCTTTACAGTTGGACATCTGACACATTGGTGTGGGAGAAACAATGGATGCACTCAGTCATATTCAGTCAAATCTTCGTGAAAACTATCAGATAGAGTCAATTGAGGGACAAATGGGAAGTTGTGATGAGTTCACAGCCTCTGATACTTCCTAGAAATATCTTAAGCCTTGACTCCAACAGTCTGAGAATGAATGTGAAATGAGAGAACAGACCTTGTGTTTGGCTGAGTGACCTACATAGTTGAGATATGGGTGACCTGAAATTGAACCTTCATTGTAGAATCAGGACTCAATGTTGAGTGAAATTCTTGACACCAACCTGTGTCATGTGTGGTGAGGTGTTTTTTTTTTTAAGTGAGCCAACTAATTAGTGGCTGTTGGTGCTCGCTAATGTCCAGGTAATGTTAGGGACTAAAGGCTGGAAGGCTGTTGGAAGCCCCTCCAGCAAAAACACATTGGCAGTCCCCACAGAGATGGGAGCTGCTGATGCAAGGAAGATGGAGAAAGGATGCCTCAAACTGAAGGAGACTCCAGAAGTACTTCCATACCTTTTTCAAACCAATAGGGCCATGACACCATGAAGCAGTAACTCCTCCCATGAATGGCCAGTTATCTTATGGGCTTTGGCGGATCAGAATAGGGAATCACCAGCAGAATGGAGCATTGTCCTTTCTACTTTCTACTCCCAACAACCACCACCATCTCTACCACCCCACTTCTCCCTGCCACCAAGAGGCCTCTTCCATCAATGGACCATGTTCCAACAGGGTGCCAGGATACCAACTGGAAAATTCCAGCTGGGATCTCTTATAATGGTCTTAGTAGATCCTTCAGTAGGCCCAAGGGGCTACCCATCGCTTGCAGTTACGGTCAGTTCCCTTTGCCAGACTGGGCCTCACTAAAAATTGCGTGGGAGACTGGCACGTCAGCTGGGTTCAGGAAATTGTAGGCCTCATCTTTTGGATTCCTCTCATGAATGGAAATTCTGTCCAGGTCATGGGTCAAATACTATCACATACAGCCACACAATTTCTCTGGGCTGCCGTGGCAAACCTCTTACCGTCCTGAGTGCAGGCTTTGGCTGATAAGGCTTTCTTCCTGCCAGAATGGTACACGGCTGAGACAGTCACCAGGTACGTGGTGTTGGGCTCCAAGTTGTTGATGATGGTGGTATTCTGGCTACTGTCGACGTTGACTAACCTGGGTTCACCCCCTGGCAGGACCCCATACAGAACTTCATAGGCAGCAACGCCAGACGGAGTTGGGGCCCAACTGACCCGAAAACTCCTCGGATGTGACTCAGAGATTAGGATTATCTGTGGACTGCTCTCATCTGGAGTCACAAGAAACAAAATAATTCCAGAGTTCATTTTGTACAATTAAACAGCTGCTGGCATGCTCATAAATTTGTGACATCTAGCATAATTATTCATATTAATAACATACCAGTATATTAATAAATTTGTTCTTTTAATTTAATGTGGTCATCTATGTATCCATGTTCACAGCAGTAAGTGGTTTGACTTCACTGAAATGTACATGGTTACTGCTTTGAAACTCCTTATAAACATAATTGCAGGTAAACTTCTCATTGATATTTTTAATCAACCTGTATGAGAATGTTTTGATACCTGTTTTGGTCATCTGGGACCTGAACCCAGAACTTCTGACCCAAAGGTAGGGACGCTACCACTGTGCTAGCCCTCATGCTGCTAAATCAATTACTTATGTTAACTTTATGGTCTTAGATGTACATTGTTGCTGTTTTGATTCCTAAACTTGCATTGTGCTACTGGACAGTACTGTATTAGCCTCTTGGTACTAATAAAACCAAAAACGCAATGAACTCTGATACAGGTCTTTAAAATTAGCTCTGAAAAAGAGAGATATTGGACTTGAAATTTTAACACTGTTTTTCTCTCTCTCCACAGATACTGCCGGACCTGCTGATTTTGTTTTCAGGTATTTTCTGTTTTTATTTCAGGTGTCCAGTGTCTGCAGTATTTTGCTCTTATAAGGAAACAATGTACCCCAATAGAGGTCTTTAAAATTACAAAGGCATTTTATAAACTAGATTTGAAGAAAGGGAGTTTTGGCAAGTCCAAAACTAAATGCTCTAAGTATAAATATATAAAACACTTAAGGAATTCAAGAAAAAAACATATTTATTGAAGGGACAGTAAGAATGTGCAACTCGTGACCCATAATGATTAGTGCAAATGGCAGAGGTATATCAAATAGGAAGCAATTTGATGGTTTGAGATGAAGCTGGGTAGGAGGAGGTCATTGAACAGCCTAACTGGGCCAAATGGTCTGTTTTTGTGCTGTCAATCTTGATATAAAGGTTGCACTGATGAACCTGCAGCAGTCTGCCAATGCAATAGAAGCAGATGGTACTTTGTGTACAAAACCAGTATAAAAGTTGTTACTGACTTGGCCTTAGAATTAACTCAGGCTGTCAAGAACCTATTACCTGGATTACAAGTTTTACAATTGAACTAATTGTCTTTCAATTATGCAGTGCAGCTACTGAACACCTAAATTGTGCTGATCACTAGAAACGTGTGTTGTGATCTGGAAGAAAAGATTTGTATTGTTGTAAACGAATGGGGAAGAAAAAGTGGACTGTAACAGGATGATCAGATGTATCCTGTTGGTCTTTTTCAGCCCTGATTGTGGCAAACAATGACCAGAATAAAAGGTACCACCTGCTTCCAGGTATTGGATACTATATTGCCTTTGTACAGCAAAGTACCACTGTTTTTACAATAGTAGATGCCCGTCTGACTGCAAAAATTAAGTTAACACAGTGTGTAAATAAACTCAGAATATTTGGTTCCCTTCATTTGAACCTGCATACAGCTCTTTCAGAGAGTGATCTGACACTTTGTTCATCTGACTCCAGGCTTGTCACAATGACATCACATTGTAAGAATCCTTGGGCACAAACCTGCCTAAGCTGAGCTGCCTTCAAAAACTTCACAGCTCCAGTTCTCAAAGGTTATTTTGGCCCTGAAAACACTGTTTTAAACTGCTTTCCAGATGCAGTCAGAAGCTTCTGTCAAACACTCAGCTAATTCCTGCTAACAAAGACAGGAAGCTCACAGGAATTGCTGGAGAGAAGGCATTAAAGAGCTTAGTGAGAAGCAAAACCCCCTGTCAATTTTATTTTGGTGTTTTGGCCTTTTCACTCAAATGCATGTACCTTTAACTATTTTGGCATGGCATCTTAAAGGAAAAATGTGTGTGTGTGGCCAGTCTGGTACCTTCCATGTTGCTGCACAGCTATCCATGTGCTGTTACAGGGAACAATGGTGAGAAAGTGGGTTGATCTATCAGAGAGAATTCAGTTTCTTGTACTCCATAGTTATTTACTGTTTCTGAATATCCTGATCCAATTTATGCAGAAGACTTAAGGATCTAAGGTACAGATACAGATATCACTGATTGTAGTGACATACATCAATAGGATCATTTAAAAAAAAAGCACACTAAGCACAGGGGCTTCCAGCTACAGGGATTGAAATGAAACGCAGACATGTCAGGTTAAACATATATAAAATTGGTTAGACTACACTTGGTGTTCCATGTGCACAATTCTTGTCACCTTTTTTATAGAAAGCATTGGAGCAGGTGTAAGAAAAAGTGTACAAGGTTAATACCAGACCTTGAAGTAATAGCTACCAGGAAAGGCCAAGTCTCTATTCTCTGGAAGAGAGAAGGCTGAGACTTGATGGACCTCACAAATGATGAAGGTGTTCAGAAGGGTAGATGCAGAAGATGGTTTACTTAGAGGGGATTCAGAAATTAGGGGTCACAAGAGTAAAAAAAAAGTCATGAATAAGTACAATAATAAACTCAGAAGAAACTTGTTGACCTGGAAATGTGCCCCAGGAAGGTGTAGTTGAGGCAAATAACATGGATGAATTTAATGGGGAATTGGATAATTACAGGAGGAAGAATAGAAGTTAGGGTTAAATGAAGAAGGGTGGGTAGAGGCTCAAATGGACAAAATACCATTAACTTGGGCCAAATGCGCTGTTTGCCACCGTAAACGTGTATAATTTGGCATTGCTACTGCAGAAACCATTGCTAATCCTTCTGCTAGGGTTCCCAGGAAAATGAAGAAATGAGAGAGGAGTAAAGGAATGGAGACAATGACAATGTACTGGAAAATACAACTCTCTGATTTTCTGATGTATCAGGTTACACCAAGCACAATCAGAACTCACCTTCTAGTGTAGTTACCTTGGTCATGAGTGGTTTCTTATAGTTGTTGTTATTTATGGGAGTAAGTTTCACTTCATATGTGGTCTCTGGAAGCAGCTGTCTCAGAACAACACTCGTTTCATCTCCAGTGACGGTTTTCCAGGATTTCCTTTCAGGCTCAGTAAGTGGAGAGTACTCAATCAAATAATAGTCAGAGTCACTGTTCAGCAGCTTAGGCCACAACAAGCGAAAGCTGCTTGCCGTGATGTCCATTGCCCGCAGTTTTTTAGCCTGGATAATCTCTGCAAGGGAACAAATCCAGGAGAGGCAGCTATCAGTTAAAACAGTAAGCAATTGTGTGTATATGTGTGTGAGAGACAAGGTATGTGATGTAGGAGTACATATAGGAAGGACAGATGAAGATGTGTGAGAGATAATTGTGTCTGTATGTGTATGACATACACGTGAAACACTGGAATTCAGTCTGAAATGAAAGCTGCAAGTCCGTATCTTGGAATTTGGTTAGGATTTACAGAAACCAGAGAGTGAAGCAGGTCTGCTTTGTGCTCAATTTGTTTTTCACACTTCCCACAAACTGATATAGGTTTGGCCATAGAGATTTGTCAAAATTTGAGACCTTAATCGCTATGACTGGTTTGTCGAGGGTAAATTTATGGTGTTACTACACAGAAGACTGCTTGGGATCCCACTGCAAAGGGTTGGTGCAAAAACAAATTAATCTTCTCCTGGCTGAACAAATGAACTGTGTATATTTAATGCTTTTCACCTCCTTATGATGGTTCAAAGTGCTTTCCGGATGAAGTGCTTATGAAGTATTTTTACCATAATGTAAGCAATAATGAGGGAAGGCTGTGGTTTAGTGGTAATGAGACTAGGCTTGTAATCCAAAGAGCCAAGCTAATGCCCTGGTGGCATGGATTCAAATCCTACCATAGCAGCTGATGGAATTTGAATTAAAGATTACAGTATCTGGAACTGAAAGCTACTTTCTTCCTGGGAACAGTTCCATGCATGAAACTACCATTGATTGTCATAAAAATCCATCTGGTTCATTCATTTCCTTTCGCAAAAGAAATGTGCCATTTTTACCGGGTCTAACTTCCACGTGACTTCCGACCACACGAATGCAGTTGACTCATAAATGCCCTGTGATTTCACCCAACTGAGGCAATTAGGGATTACAAACATTGCTGGTCATCCTATCAAAAACACCTAAAGTACTCAATATTTCACCTCAGTGATACCTCCCAGACTTTGGGCTGAATCATATGATCGTTGGTCAATTTCATCAAGTTTTATGGAGGGTTTCTCCCAGTGAGCTTTCTTGGAATACCACCCCACACTCACCCCTGTTTTCAGATGCCAGTTCAGGGTTTGAGTACCAGTTGCCAGAACCAGAATTTCTTGCACTCTCGGGCTATCCTGAGATACTCTGACATCAGCACCATCTTTAAAATGCTATTGTTTACCCAGTCAAACACTCGTCAGTCTGAAGCTATCCTGCACAGTTTGTGATACTTGCCCTGGACAAGGCTGACAGGGGGAATTTGGCACCCAGTTTTGCAGGCAGGGACGTCCTGCTGGATAGGGTGATACAGGGGAGGGATGTCCTTTACCCCGAGGACCAACAGAGGAGGCCACAAAACTGGACCTTGCCAGCCTGGCCTATGTTGTCACCCAAGTCAATGCAATCTCAACTGTCTGGAGGAACACCCAGCAGGAAGAAGATCAATGACCTTTTCTGCTTCACTGGGTAAACTGCCACCATCTTTTCTCTGCTTACCTCACACTCATTCTCTCTCTGAAACTACACACACATCCTACTAAGGCTCACACTCTCCGACTCTCACTCTTCCTTCACTTGCTCTCACCTACCCAATCCCTCCCACACCACTAGCCCTGCGTAGTCTTTGCGCTGCCTACTGACTCACTCGGGACACCTCACCACCTTCTCCCCCACCTGCACTAATAAATACAGTTTATGGTACCCAATTTCATCTCACTCAATCTCTCCCTTTCATTCCAAGAGAAAATAGCCCACAGATGGGCAGAAAGAGCTAAGACAGGTGGTGGAGTGCCTCACATTTGGTTCCTCAATGCCCATGGGAGAAGAGGGTTCTGACTCTGACTGTCCTGAGCAGTCAAATGACCATACTCAAGCCTTGAACTGATCTCGGAGGCTGCCTTTGACTTACTCTGCCTGGACCCTGGGACCGAAGGGTGCCTCCCTTGATGTGACTGCTCTTCTCCCCTGAGACATCTGGCATGTGGTAAAGGTGTGAGAGTTATGTAGCATGGTGCTGTCTACCCCCTTGTCTGATCATTGCTACACAGGTTGTTTCACTTTGTGAGTGTGCCAGAAGGCCAGGTGGGGATGCTGTCAGCATCCAGGTAGGCTCAAAGTGAGCAAGCACTAAGAGAGTGAGCAGGCAGCCCTTAGATACAGACTGGGGCAATCACTGAGCTGGTTGCCTGTGCACAAAGTGTCCTTGCAGCAACATCCCACTGATGGCTGCCACTGTGCTCCAAAGTACAGCACTAAAGAGCAGCAACGTGGTAGAATTGGATCAGAGAGATGCCACAATGGCATGGAGAGACTTTGTAGGTGTTGGATACCAATATCTGTGGACAAGAGGTGCATGCAGCCACTGCCCATGGTGCATGCTTGGAAGACTGGTGCTATGCAACTAAAATGGAGATTGGAAGGAACAAGCGGTGAGCTGGAGTCACCTGATATCTGCTCAGATTTTCATCTTGAGAATTCTCAGCATCTAAGCATTCTCAGCATTTCCAAGCAGCAGGTGATAGGAGGTTGGATATTAATGAGGAGAGAATTGCAGTTAATGAGAATTAAAAACAAGCAATACATCCTGTTCATTGGCATCTCACTGCTCCTTAACGAGAACCTGTACTCGATGTCCAGAACACCGAATGCACTTAATCTTTCCTCGACATTAAAAAAGGCCTCACTCAATCTGTCATGCAATTCTGAGGTTTCTCATTGTAGCCCGCAACTGTTCAGGGCCCTGTGAGGATTCCACCCTTGGATTTTTATATTTTCCATCCATCCTGTTCAGAGATGTTATTACACACCTCTGACACAAGTGAGACTCGAACCCAGGTCTCTCAGTGCAGAGGTAGGACACTACCATTGCACCACACGAGCGTGACCTTTTGACTTTTAAGCCAGAGGGCAGATCTCAGTCAAGATTACAAGATGATGGTCTCTGCTGATTGCCAGTCAACATTGACATGAATCTATGCCTTCAAACCAACATTATCTGATTTCTGAAACATCTTTTCCCTCTTGTTCTCCAGTTTATTTCCCAAGTTTTAAATATAGGTAGAGCTCTCACATTCACCGATGATGAAAACTATAGAAATCAATAATTTGGATCAACTATGAAAATTACACAAAAACAAAAGCAATAGCCTGAGCAAAGAACAAATTCTGAAAATATCTAGTAGCATAGATAGAATCTGTTCAGAGATAAACAGAGGTAATATTTCATGTTTCATCAGAAGTTCCACCTCCTTTTGAATGCTTCATTGTCCCTTTTTGTCAAATTAATCACTCTCTGTCACCACCCTATCACAGACCCTATCCTTTGTACTTTTATATTCCTTGGCACGATTCCTAGCTCTTCATTTGCTTACAAACTGTAAAATCACTAACTTCTTCCAGTTACAGAGTCATACAGCATGGAAACAAACCCTACAGTCCAACTAGTCCACACTGACCAAAATCCCAAATTAAACTATTCCCACTTGCCTACATTTAGCCCACATCCCTCTAAACCTTTCCTACTCATATACTTATCCAAATGTCTTTTAAACATTGTAAGTGTACCTGCATCCATTACTTCCTCTAGCAGTTTATTCCACACAGAACCACACAGTGTAAAAAAGTTGCCCCTCATGTCCTTTTCAAAACTGTCTCCTCTTGCCTTAAAAATATGTCCCTTAGTTTTGAACTCCCCTACCTTAAGTAAAAGACCCCTGCTATTCACCTTATCTATGCCCTTCATGATTTTATAAACCTCAACCTTCTACGCTCCAGTGAAAAAAGTCTCAGCCTACTTTTGTACAACTCAAACCCTCCATTCTTGACAGCATCCGGGTAAATCTTTTCTAAATCCTCTCCAATTTAACCTCAACATGACACTCCAACTGCTATACTCAAAGCTCTGTGCAATGAAGGCAAGTGTGCTTAATCACCCTCTTAACCTCCCTATCTACCTGTGATGCAAATTTCAAAGAATTATGCACCTGAATCCCCAGATCCCTCTGTTTGACAATACTACCCAGGGCCCAAAAACAGAAGTTGCCGGAAAAGCTCAGCAGGTCTGGCAGCATCTGTGAAGAAAAGTCATAGTTAACATTTCAGGTTTGGTGATCCTTCCTCAGAACTCAGGGTCCCACCGTTAATTATACAAGTTATGCCCTTGTTTGTTTTACCAAAATGAAATATCTTACATTTATTCAAATTAAAGTCCATCTGTTAACCTGTTGACCCAATTGATCACTGTCTCTTTGTAATCTTAGATAACCTTATTCACTGAATACTATACCACCAATTTTGGTGTCATTCACAAACTTACTAACCATGCCTCCGAAATTCTCATCCACATTGTTTATATAAATGACAAACAAAAGTGGACCCAGTACCAATTCCTGTGCAACACTACTAGTCAAAGGCCTCTGTCTGAAAATAACCCTCCTCCACCACCACCACCCTGTCTCCTACCATCAAGCCAATTTTATATCCTATTGGAAAGCCCACCCTGAATCCCATGTGATCTAATTTTGCTAATCAGTCTACCATGTGGAACCTTTCCAAAGCTTTACTAAAGTCCATGCAAACAACATCTACTGTTGTGCCCTTATCAATCTTTTTGGTTACTTCCTCAAAAAAACTCAAGTTTGTGAGATACTATTTTCCTGGCACAAAACCATGCTGGCTATCCCTAATCAGTCCTTGCTTTTCCAAAGCATGTAAGTCCTATCTTTCAGAATCATCAACAACTTACCCAGCACCGATGTCAGGCTCAGAGATCTATAGTTCCCAGGCTTTTCCTTGGAGCCTTTTTTAAATAAAAGGCACAATGTTAGCTATCCTCCAGTACTCCAGCACCTCACCCGTGGTTATAGATGATACAAATATTTCTGCTGGGTGGCACTGCAATTTCTTCCCTAACTTCCCACAATATCCTGGGATATACTTGATTAGGTCCTAGATGTTTATCCACCTTTATGTTTTCAAAGTCCTCCAGTACTACTA